ACTACATAACTTTTAGAAGACATCTGTGGGCAGCCATGTATCAGGAAGTTTTTAATGTTTGATATTTTACTATGTTATATATATCCTGTAGATTAACTAACTCTTCTTGTGATGATCTATTCTCTTGCCAACATTTTCAATAGCGTGATGCATACCTTACCAATACTGGAGATAGATGATGGCACCTTGGACAATGTGGAGGCAAGGGAGAAGCAGGCAGTTGGGGGGAAAGGAGAGCTGCGGCCCATGGAAACCTCCTATGAGCCGGAACATCTGCCATCTCCTAAGATTGGGCTTAAGATTCCTCCTCTGAGGTAAGGAGTTTCCTTCAGGAGTCAACCCATCTATTACAGGGGTGGGGATCATCTGTGGCCCTCTGGAAGTCGGCGGACAACAACTTCCATCATGGGCATGTAGGCTGCTATCCATATTTGTTGATAAAGTGGTACCTCGGGTTAAGTACTTAATTCGTTCCGGAGGTCCATTCTTAACCTCAAACTGTTCTTAACCTGAAGCACCCCTTTTTTCTAATGGGGCCTCCTGCTGCCGCCACGCTGCCAAAGCATGATTTCTGTTCTCATCCTGAAGTAAAGTTCTTAACCTGAGGTACTATTTCTGGGTTAGCGGAGTCTGTAACCTGAAGCATATGTAACCCGAGGTACCACTGTACTCCCAAAGAGTTCTGAAAGGTAAATCCCGCAGAGCCATCTGGAAACGCACTGGATCAATCAGTCTCCAAGGGTGGGCCATACTAATAGATCTCCCACCTCTGCAGAGGGGGAAAGGTGCTGAAAGCCTAAATCTCCAGCCCTTCCTGGAGAAGCTTCCATGGATTGAACTTGGGACCTTCTGCTTGCAAGGATCTCTACCACTGAGGTATAGTCCTTCCTAGACTAGCTGGTTGGCATCCATCTGTCTCAGGAGACAATGGAAAAGTATGCCTTTGAGGGTGAGGTCAAACCTACAAGGGATTCTCATATGGCAGGCTTAATGTTGCCAGCCAGTCACATCTACAATATAAAATGCTATGATACCAACTTAACACCCATCGATTCCCTGAATAAAAAAATCCCAGGAACTATAGTTTGCCAAAGGTTCTGAGAGTTAGGAGACCTCTAATAGTGCTACAATTCCCAGAGAGCTTTAGCAGTCAGTTCCTCTCGTCCATGAGAACTCTGGAAATTGTAACTCTGTGAGGCGAACTGGAATCTCCTACTAACTCTACACACCCTTAACAAACAGTTTCCAGGATTCTTTGGGAGAAGCCATGACTGTTTAAACTGGTATGATGCTGCTTCAAATGCATGCTGCGGATTTGTTCGTTCTGCTTTTCTTCCACAGTAAAGAGAAGACTTTTAACAAGGATCGCCTCTTTGGTGCTATTGTAAGGGGGAACCCTGAGGAGCTGGAAGGACTGGGGGACTATTTGCGAAGAAGTGGCAAATATCTTACCAACTCTGAGTACACAGGTGGGAATGAGCCTGAGAGCTGGGGCTATTAGTAGTAGTAGTAGTAGTAGTAGTAGTAGTACTTCTCATTGATGTGAGAATAGGCAGGAATTTCAGGCTTCACAGAAGTATTTGCAAGATAGAGGAGGGCCATCAGAGCGCAAGAGGACTGACAGTCGAGTTCGGAAGAGAAAAGAGTGAAAAAGTGATTTACTAATGGCATTATTTCTGAGGGTAAGTTGTGTGGTTTTTCACTAACTAGCTGCTTCACACCTGGCATTGTTTGGAAATTCTAAGGAATTAAAAGAACTTGTGGTTGAAAACAGGGCAGTTTTTGAAAGGCTCAGTCTGCCATATTGATTCAGTTGAGCAGGCAAAAACCTGTTTCCAGATCTCCCAAATCATCATGCAATATATGATTACAATACCTTAAGAGGTGTCCAAATACACAGTTCAGTTTTGAAAGGTTCAATCCATCATCTTGATTCAAAACAGATCCCAGTTGTATCCAGACTTAGACAAAAACCTGCTGCTTGGTCTCAGGGGCCAACATGCAAAAGTTGGTTAAAATCAGCACAGTTTTGAAATGCATATTCTACCATATTGATTCAAAATCGTCACCTGATTTTGGACCTTACATATTTTGTGGCCATTTATTTTGTAACTGCAAGTTTCCCTGTTTTACAACTGTTGCTTCAGACATACAATTTTTTTAAAAAACTTAACATCCCAATTAATGTGAAATTTGTTGAAAAATATTTGGTACTTACAAATTAGTGTTGTTCATGGGAATGAATGTACATCATCTGACTGCAGGATGTGTTGGGTTCAATCATTATGTGACCCATCTACACAGATTTCATGACCCAGTTGAACAGGCTGAGAAACGCTGTAGTATAGGATGTCGTAAGGACCCACAGCACAGCGGTAAATTTACCTATTTTGTGTGCAGAAGACCCTAGGTTACCGTAAATTCCTGTGAATTTCCAGTGAAAAGGATCTGAGAGCAGGTGAGGAGCAAGGCTAGGAATTGCAGATAAGTTCAGTGAACCAACTTAATTCACAAATCCAAATTTGCTCTTCCCTGAATGTTTGAAATGCGGGTGGGGTGGCTTATTTGGCCTCCTGGCATGAGACTTTCTTGATCTTTATGCACATATCTTGTGATTAAAATCTTTAGTCTCTCTGCGAAGGCAGCAGATAAATATTTTCATCTTGATTAGCTAGTGCTATTGGTCCAAATAATCTTAGAGCTGCTGGGTCTTTGTTAGGTTTCAAAATAGCTGCAACTCAATATTGTTTTCAAGACTGAGAGTTCCTCTTTCCCTCTAGACAACTTTTGAAAACAATCCTTAATTTGGAGATGAGTTCTTTTGTGAAGGCTTTCTAAAATTCACCTGGTAGTCCATCTAAAGCTTTACAGCAAGACTCCCTGCGGAGTTTCTTTCCTTGGATATTCTTAAAGCGTTCTGTAGACTTGAATGGCCCTTTACGCTGTCCTTGTTAGAAAAAAGAGATGCACTTCTCCAAACAAAGGATGGAACTCCCTTCTCTTCCAGATGGAGAAACGGGCAAGACCTGCTTGATGAAGGCCTTGCTGAATTTAAAAGATGGGGCAAACCCCACCATCCCTTTGCTGCTGAAGATAGACAAGGAGACCAAGAACCCAAGGCCTCTGATCAACGTAGCTTGTAAGGATAGCTTCTATAAAGGTAAGGACCTTGGGGTGGGGAGACAGCATTAAAAAAAGAACTCCTCCACTCAGGGGTAGGAGAACATGCTTGTTTTCTACGTTTGACTTCTTTAATGATTTTCTTTCATGCCATTTTTGTTCTGCTAGGCCACACAGCACTCCACATTGCCATTGAGGAGAGGAATCTAGATCTGATCAAGCTCCTGGTGGAGAACAGCGCTGACGTCCATGCCAAGGCCTGTGGAAAGTTCTTCCACCAGCAGGAGAAAGGGGCCTGCTTCTACTTTGGTAGGTTGATACCTTGTGCCTAAAGTCCACTGTCACAGATTCTTGGAGTGGGTGCTCAGTTTTTGTAACTTGTGCCAAAAGCAGCCATTCCTCTCCCAGCTTTGCTTCCGTTTATCTCCTTCCTCCTCCAGGTGAGCTTCCCCTCTCCTTAGCTGCTTGCACCAACCAGCCAGAAGTGATCAGGTATCTCTTGGATAACCCTCATCAGAAGGCCAACCTGGCAGAGCGGGATTCCCTTGGCAACACAGTCCTCCATGCCTTGGTGATGGCGGCCGATGATGCGGATGAGAAGAACAGGGAGCTGGTGATCGGGATGTACAACAAGATCCTGATGCACAGTGCTACGCTCAACCTGAGCCAGAAACTGGAGGAATTAATCAACACGGAAGGCTTGAATCCTTTGACCCTGGCCGTCAAGACTGGAAAGATAGAGGTAAGTCAGTTGGGAGCTTATCATAAATTGTATTTCTGAGCTTAGGAACCTGTGACCTTCCAAGATGTTGTTGGATTCCAGCTCCCATCATTCTCCTGGCTGCTCTCACTGCTCATTCTCATTGGCTACTTGGAGATGGAAGTCCAACAATATCTGGAAGGCGGCATCTTCATGTCATGCTAGCAGAGATTCAGGCCACACAAGATCGGTCAGTGTTGTCAACTTCAGGTAGGAGGCTGAGATTGAGAGGACAACTTGCAGAAGACAACTTAAGAAGATTTGTACCAGGGGATACATGATTTCACATATCATGTCCTAGGGATGGCGAGATTCAGGCCCGAGAGCCAGTTACCCTCCAGGCTTCTCTATCCAGCCTTTGGGACTATTTTTAGACTTCACACCCTCCAAGCTACAGCCGTTTGTGGCACAGGTGTAGTGGTTCAGGGTCATGGGGGATTGAAGTCCTGTTACTATTTCTGCAGCAGGGTCTCTTTCTCCAGTGTCCAAAAGGGGAGCTTTTTAGCCACTGAGAAGAAATCTTCCCACCCTTTGTGCTGATTGGAGCCGATCAGAGTGGAAGGAGGTAAGTCAGCCACACAGGATGGGCTCCTAAGGTCACTCTGGAGAAGACATGCCAGCAGAACACTGAGGAGTTGTTGGTCTGTACATTCCAGAGCTAAGCATTTAGAAACACCAAAAACGCTGAAAAGGCCAGTTCTCATCTTGCCACCCTGCAGACCTCTTGTAGAAGGAGCACAGAAAGAAGGGCCTCATATGATGTTTAAGTAGAAATAAGCATAAATGTTGGAAGAGAAAACCCAAAGAAAATCCCACGCCCTATTTTGTCTTTCCTAGATCTTCAAAAACATTATTCACCGCGAAATCAAAGACCCGCAGTACCGTCACCTTTCGCGGAAGTTCACTGAATGGACCTACGGGCCTGTCCACATCTCTCTCTACGACCTGACCTCCATTGACAGCTATGAGGAGAACTCTGTGTTGGGCATTCTTGCCTACAGCAGCGATACTCCGGTGAGATGATCAATGAAGGCGACTTGTCTGCTTTAAAATAATCCCTAAGGGAGATCCTTCAGTTCTCTCTGCAGCTAGGCTTCTCTCTTCAGGAGATTTTCTTGGTGCCATCTTTGTTTTATTTCCAGTACTGAGCAACACCCCCTTAAAAGAAGTTTGCACAGGTGATTAGATACTTGTTTTCTTCTTTGAAGAAGTCTCCATGAGAATATATTTATTGTGGTCTTCCCAAAGGCACTGGTTCGCCACTGTGTGACACTAGATGGGCCATTGGCCTAATCCAGAAGGGCTACTATTGTCTTGGAGAGTCTAGATTTGGTGCCTTTGTGGATACTTATTTTGGGAAAACAAAATAGGTGACCTTGATCGATAAAAAGCTGTAATATAAAATCTTGGATTGCTGTACTTTATCTCTGTTTTTATGACATTTGTTTTGGCATTTTAATACTGATTTGTTCTATTGTACATGTCTTAGAAAATTTGAAACAATTGAGCAGTTTAATATCCTGAAACAAATATATACACACCAGTAAAGGCCATAGGCTGAATAAGCTGTGGTTTCGTGCAACTTGGAGCAGGGCAGGGGTACCCTGTTTCTCTCTGTTTTGATGGCACTGTTATGACATTCTTATGCTGATTTGCACTGTTGTACATGGCTTAGAACATTTTAGATGAATAAGCAGTTGAATACCTTTAAGTAAAGAAACACACACCAGTATAGGCCTCTTCGTTGTGCAAAACCACAGTTTATTCAGCCAACCAGTTTGCAGGCTGAAGAAGCTGTGGTTTCGTGCAACTTGGAGCAGGGCTAGGGTACCCTGTGGCCCTCCAGATGTTTTGGGGCTCCAACTGCCAGCAGCCTCAGCATGGCTAATAACTAGGGATGGTGGGGGCTGAATCAATGAATTATTTTCTTTCTTTCTTTCTCCGACATACAGAAGCGGTACGAGATGGTGGTCCTGGAACCTATAAACAAGCTTCTTCAAAGCAAATGGGACTCCTTTGCTGCCACGAGATTTTACATCAGTTTTTTCTCCTATGTGCTGTTCATGTCCGTGTTCTCAGCTGTTGCTTATCACCGGCCTCTGGAGGGGAAGGTAACAGCAGCTTTGGGGCTTGGGGGATACAGAGAGGGAGGCAGAGAGAGGAGGAGGGTGGCTCTCTAGGGCAGAAGGGTGGAAGCTCCCTGTTTGTTCTACAAGGCCCTTTTGGGCCAAGCCGCACCCACCTGCCCATACATGATGTAGGGCAAGGGTGGCAGAGAGATTCAATTCAGTTTGCGCTGAAAGGCAAACCTACTTAATTTCTACTTTCTGAACTGAAATGCAGTCATTCTTTGAAATCCACACTTCTCCGAATCTTTCACTGCAGTTCTGCAGCCAAGCAACATGTACAAAAGATGCATGTGTGCATAGATATGGATATATTGGGGGAAGATAGCATACAAAAGTACATTATGTTAGGGAAATCCACACCGTGATCATCTCCCGCCCAGAAACCTATGTCCCCACTGTGGAAGGATATGTAGATCCAGAATTGGCCTCCACAGTCACTTACGGACTCATTGTTAAAACCGTGTTTATGGAAGACAATCTTACTCGGCTACGACTGATCGCCAAAGAAAGAAGAAGATGTTAGGGACGGTTGGTGTGCCAAATTTGCATTTAAAGGCAAACCTACCTAATTTCCACTTTTTGGAACAATCCATAGACTGAAACATGACCATCCTTTCACATTCACTGAATTTTGCAATGCAATTCTCCATCCAAACAGCATGTACAAAAAAGAGAATGAAATGCATGTACTTAGAGCAATGTGTGCATAGTTTTTTTGTGAAAATGTTTTAAAAATGAGTATCCATTTTCATGGTTTTTCTTTTATTTTATTGCAAACTGCTGCAGAGAACCAAAATGAAGATTGGAGAAAAGGAGAGAAGCCAGTACTGACAGATCCATACATCCATAGTTGTTAGGGAGTTTAATTTGTGCCTAGGTCAAAAAGAGGGTACCATCAATTAGTTGATTGGCACCGACTACACCCTCTTCAGACTTCTGTGCAGCTTTTTGCAAACCCTGACAAACAGTTGATTGTCTCTGCTTTTATCTTAATGAATTACTTAAGTCTCTCTCCCCAGCCTATCTTTTTTCCTTTAATCTTCCCAGCCTCCTTTTCCAGTGACACTCACTGCTGGAGACGTATTGAGGCTCATTGGCCAGATCATTGTCTTAACTGGAGGCGTGTATCTCCTCATTGATCAGGTATGACATACTCTTATAGCTCTTCCTGCTGCTGTTTCAGAAAGCCAGAAGAAAATAGGACTGGCTGCAGAATTATAGAGCATCAAATCTTTCCTTTTAAAAGAATTAACAAAGTACCTAGTCCTTAAGGTTCCACACACTACCCTGGTTTGCACATAACCATGATTTGTTTATCCTAACTATGGTTAGTTTGGACGTACAAGCCTACAACATCAGACTCACTGTGTTTTTTTCTGTCAACCTACCATGATGTGAAGCCTTGAAAAAAATAGGTGATATCCTAACTAATCCAAGAGATATCCTAACCCAAGGATACGATAAAGTAAAAATGAATATTTCACAGAGAATTAGAGGCACGGGGGAAGAACCCTGAGTTGTTCTGCATGCAGCATTCAGGAACACTGACATCACAAGCTGCTAAAGTTTCAAGAGACCATTGTGCATGTTCTGTCATGCACAACTTCAAGGGAAACACAAATTAAACCACTGAGAGAGAAGATCTGGAGCACTCCAGATGATTTGCCTGTGTATATACCTGACTGGAAGGCAACACATGGGTGTCTGCAATGATCGTTGCAATGCATCGCTAATTAATATTGTATAATTTTAGAAGGTTGTGCAGACTTAGTTTGGACTTATCATGAAGGGATCTTGCGCTTCTGAATTTGCCACTGCACTATTTCTGCTGTGCTGACAAGAGTGTTCCTGTCCATTTGCTTATTAGGCTTTTTACCTGTGGAGAAGACGCCGGTCACTGACAACTCTGCTTCAGGATGGCTACATCGAGATTTTTCTGTATGTTGGGGGGGCAGCGGTAGGGAAGAGGGTTTTTTTTTTAAAAAAAATAGTTGTTTTAAAACTGTTTTTACTGATAGTTTTATTGTTTCATGCTTTTTGTAAAGAGCTTTGAGCCCGGCTTCCGCTGGGGAGGGCGAGATATAAATAAAAAAATATAAATTATTATTATTATTATTATTATTATTATTATTATTATTATCATACATTCAAGCAGCACAAAACTTTTATGAAATAATATTTTTTTGTGGAATTACTGGAGCCAAGGTCTCTCATTGGGACACTTATACAGTACAGTGGTACCTCAGGTTACAGATGCTTCAGGTTACATACGCTTCAGGTTACAGACTCCGCTAACCCAGAAATAGTGCTTTCAGGTTAAGAACTTTGCTTCAGGATGAGAACAGAAATCGTGCTCTGGCGGCGCAGCGGGAGGCCCCATTAGCTAAAGTGGTGCTTCAGGTTAAGAACAGTTTCAGGTTAAGAACAAATTAAGTACTTAACCCAAGGTACCACTGTAGTTATGGTTTGTTCCTGCTTCACCGCTCATGGTTTATCCCCTAGAACAAATCAGAAGCCCCGCTTTGAATGTAATGCGATAGCCAAACCATGGCTCTGGGTACTGTGGCGGTAGCAGGACCAAGGGAGGAGTGAAGAGGCTGCCTTTTCTTCACTGAATACCCACCCTGTAGCTCATTCATGCTTAGCTGTGGCATGTGGCTTAGCTTTTGTGTGCTAGGCAGGCCAAGCAGACTCCTCTATGCCTGAAAGGCACCTTCGCTGAGCGGAACCATCTCTCCCCCCCCCCCATTTTCTCACAGGCTGTTGCAGTCAGTGACCCTGCTGGTTTCGGCAGTGATGTACCTTGCAGGCCTGGAAGATTACCTGTCTTGGATGGTCTTCTCCCTCCTGCTCGGCTGGACAAACCTGCTGTATTACATGCGAGGCTTTCAGCAGACCGGGATCTACGTTGTCATGATACACAAGGTTGGTATAACTGCATATTCTAAAGGTCTAACAGCCTGTATTCCCATGCTTTGCTGCATGTTCTGTGATCTTAAATCTCTGCTGGCGCCCTCTCACCAAAGAGTACTCCAAGTCCTGGATCTAGGCATTCAGGGAATTGCCTCTTTATTTTCCCTTTTAGCCAAATACCAAAATATTAAAACCTGCACACTGTATATAACAGACCTGGCACACCTTTCTCTTGGAACTTAAGCACCTGGTGTTTTCAGTGTTCTTAAATGCTCAGCATACAGAACTTCCTCAGTGTTCTTCCTGAGTACCTTCTTCAGAGTGACCCTAGGTGCCCATCCTCCGTGGCTGACTCACTTCTGCTTACGCCGATTGGCTCCAAAAAGGGTGTGAGGATTCCCTTTTCTGCTGATTGGGTGACTCCAGGATGCTGGAAGGAGAGACCCTGCTGCAGAAATAGTAAAAAGTCATTGACGCCCTGCGATCCTGGGCCATAACGCCTCTGCAGTTTAACCTGCCTCATAGGCTTGCTGTGTGAGGTTAAGCCTGTTGGTTATATGAAGCTGATTAATCCCACACTTCAAGTTAAACACAAATTAATTCACTGAGAAGGAAGATATTGGAGCACTCCAACAATTTGCCCATGTGATTTGCGCAGAAAAGTCTATTTAACTGAACGGCAACACATGGAGATCAGTACTGCTTATTGCAACACATCCCTAATTATTGTTATATATTTCTAATATTATTGTACAAACTTAAAGTTGTATAATATTAGAAGGGTGTGTGGCTGTGAGGGCACATGTCTGTGGATACCATGAAGGGACTCTGCATTTCTGAATTTGCAACTGCACTACTGTTAAACTGCAAGACAATGTGATTGGCTTGTGGTCAACCACTTGAAAGTCACCCTTGGGCAAAAATCTGAACCCGAGTCTCTGCCCAGTCCTCCATCATGCTGGGGTTCCCCAGTTCACTTCTATCCTGCTCTGCATTCCAGGCTATCCTGCGGAACCTCATGCATTTCCTCATGGTCTATGTGATCTTCCTCTTCAGCTTTTCAACAGGTGAGTCTCTACCTGTCCTAACAGGGAAGGGCCAGAACTGGCAGCAGAAACCAGAATCCTACCCACTTCCTCCTTTAGCAGCACCGTTGACTGTTTTTTTTGCATCCAATATATGAAGACAAGGGAAAATGACACATAGTAATAATCATGCCTAGTAATCATGCCGCCTGATCTCAGTTGCAGAGCTGGCCCTGCTATTAGGCAGAGTAAGGGGATTCATTGATATTCGTGCATTCCCCTCTCCCCTGCAAAGGCCAGGGTTAAGAGGTGTGTCTTCAGCATATCGCAGAAACTATATACAGTGGTACCTCGGGTTACAGACACTTCAGGTTACAGACACTTCAGGTTACAGACTCCGCTAACCCAGAAATAGTACCTCGAGATAAGAACTTTACTTCAGGATGAGAACAGAAATCGCACAGCGGCAGCGGGACGCCCCATTAGCTGAAGTGGTGCTTCAGGTTAAGAACAGTTTCAGGTTAAGAATGGACCTCCAGAACGAATGAAGTTCTTAACCCGAGATACCACTGTAATGGAAGTGCCCGATGCACATCTATGGGGAGAGACTTCCACAACTCAGGAGCTACCACAGAGAAAGTCCTTTCTTGGGTCACCGACCCCCAAACTTCAGAGGGTCACAGAACTTCCAAGGAGCCCCCTCTGCTGATTTTAATGCACAGGAGGGTCTGTAGGGAAGTAGGTGGGTCCCCCCCCCAAAAAAAACCCCTGTGTCATTTATCACTTGAAACACTCGTGTGAGCGCCTCAAATTGGACCTGGAAACGAACTGGCAACCCAAGATGAGTTGTGGATGGCACAGCCCATGACTAGTAGGTCCTGAGTTGTGACATCTTTTGGGACAGGATTCTCATGCAAATAGAGAGGTTTACAAGGAGATTCTTCAAGGACCCCCTGATTTAAATATTCTCATTTCCCATTTCAGCCCTTGTCATACTTACTGGGGAGGCTCCCCAGCCAGTCCAGAATGGGTCTTCCCTCATCAACAGTGATGGCAAAGACCAAGTCAAGTATGTTGGGCTGCTACAGACGTCCCTGGAGCTGTTCAAGTTCACCATTGGGATGGGGGAGTTGGAGTTCCAACAGAACATGAGGTTCAGGTACTTTGTGATGTTCCTCCTGCTCTTCTATGTCATCATGACTTACATCCTCCTTCTGAACATGCTGATTGCCCTGATGAGCGAGACGGTCACCGAGGTCTCTGAAGATGGTCAAAAGATCTGGAAGCTGCAGGCAAGTCCAAAACCACTTCTGGGTGGGGTTTAATTTGAGCCAAGGCCATTACATCAAGGCCCCCTCCAAACTGGCTGTTTCTGTGTGCATTCTTCAGCATGTCTCTGTCATTGACTGTTGGCTTTGTCTTTGGTGTTGACAAGCATAATGGGCCTTGCTCATTGCTTTGGGGAAATGAAGCTATTGGGCGCAGCATACAACAACTGAAAATAAATAAGTACACTGGCTCCTCACTCTCCAACACTGTGACAGCTGCCTGTTAGCTCAGCCCTGACAAAGGATTCACCCATAAGGAGAACCCTGATGGAACAGGGCCAGATTAACCAGTACACTAAAGGCCCCTCCAGACTGGCTGTTTCTGAGTGTTCTGCAAAATGTCTCTTTGTCATAGACTCTTGGCTTTATTCATTGGTGTTGACAAGCTTAGTTGCCATTGTTCACTGGCCAGGGAACATAAAGCTATACGTTTGTGGCATACAGATCCTGTAAATAAATAAGTACACAAATTCCTGCCTCCTCACTCCCCAACTCTTGATCCCACCCTGATAGCTGCCTATTTGCTTAACCCTGACAAAGGATTCACACATAGGGAGAACCCTGATGGAACAAGCCCATGTGGTTCAGCACCCTGGGTGCCTATGGCAAGTCTACAAGTGGGACAGCATTTCAGAGCACCTGCCTTGCATGCAGAAGGTCCCAGGTTCAATCCCTCCAATTTTCAGGAAAGGGCTGAGAATGTCCCTCGCCTGAAACCCCCAAGAGCCACTTCCAGTCAGGTCAACTATACAGAGTTAGATGGAGGAGTGGTATCACTCCTAAATCTGAAAATGTGACTATTCCTCCTGAATTGTACCCACAGCGAGCAACTGCTATTATGGAGTTGGAGAAAAGCTGGGTTTGGCATTGGCAGAAACCCAAGCGATCTGGTTGCCAGCTGTCTATCGGCTCCAAAGACGAGAAAGATAAGAGATATTTTTTCCGGTGAGTTTGACCGTGCCCTGCACTGTTGCAGGTCCACAGAGCAACAAGGGCTGCACAGATAAGCAAATATATATTGACTGTGTCTTTCCCCCAAGTGAGCGACGGGATTCAGGTGGTTCACCATTTATTTGTATGTTTTGCAGAGTAGAAGAGCTAGATTGGGCTAACTGGAAGAAAGAGGTGGGAGCTCTCAAGGAGGAGCCTGCAGACTCAGACCACAACGAGACAGTGTCAAAAGGCAAGTGAAGAGCAACACCCTACTCCAGATGTGGGGAACCTGTGACCCTCCCATCACCCCCATCCAGTACGTCCAGTGTTGGGGGATGATGGGAGTTGTAGTCCAACAACATCTGGAGGGCTACAGGTTCACCAAACCTGTCCTAAACAAGTCTAGGGGAACCTGCAGCTTTCCAGATGTGCAGTTACAACCCTCAGCAGGCAGCATGGCCCAATGCTGAGGGATGATGGGAGTTGAAATCCAGCCACAACTGGAGGAAACCACAGGCAATCCACTCCTCTGTTACTCAAAAGCCTTGCTTACCTTCTTGCCTTCACAGTCATTAATACACTATCAGGCAAGGCTATGTGGCAACTGAGACCTTTGGACAGCACCACAGTCTGCTTGTGGCTCTCTTTTTTTGGGCTGGCCAGCAGGTGATGTTGCTTTATCAGAATCAGGAAACCAGTCGCAGGAGAAAGTCTCATGCCTGCCCATCTCTGCAGCTGAGTGACTTCTCCTGGCTAAAGAGTATTTTTATTTTATTTATTTTTAAAGATAATATTCATGATGTCACAACTGCTCTCTCTATACAGTGGTACCTCGGGTTAAGAACTTAATTCGTTCTGGAGGTCCGTTCTTAACCTGAAACTATTCTTAACCTCAGGTACCACTTTAGCTAATGGGGCCTCCCGCTGCGCCACTGTCGCGCGATATCTGTTCTCATCCTGAAGCAAAGTTCTTAACACAAGGTACTATTTCTGGGTTAGCAGAGTCTGTAACCTGAAGCGTCTGTAACCTGAGGTACCACTGTACTTCCTAGATTTTCAGAAGCACTACAGGTTTTCAGGAAAGAGTCTTTCTCAGTTCTTTATGGAGGAGCCAGGATTGTTTTTTAAAAAAACATTTTTTAAAATGTTGGAGATGCAGATTAAACAAAGCAGTTTACATACATATCTTCTTGGATTGTTCTCAAATAGAAATGTTCTGAAAATCTGTTCAGGCTAATATCTCTGATATGTTAGGATACCATATACCCTTGGGTCCTAAAATATCTCTGCTTGGTTATCTAAAAGACGTTATTTCGGAAAATGATCATGAAATAGTGTTCAACCTTATAACTGCTGCTAAGATTAGAATAGCTAGAGGGTGGGGCATATATCCCACTATATCTGAATGTTATGAAAATTTAGTCCATGGTAACTATGATTAAGCTAACTTATTATATAAACCAGCCTAACTTTGTTTGGGGGGGGGGGGGAAATAAATTTTTTGAATTGTTTTGGAACAAGAAGTTCAGTGATTATATCCAACCTCATGCTGCTTTCAACCTGCTGTAATAGTATTTCTTTATGCTCTTTATCTTTGGATCATTTTGTTTAATTAAAAAAATAAACATTTTTATTATAAGAAGAGGAAGAATGCCATACAATAAGGAAGGGGGAATGGATTTGGGGGGAGCTTTATATCATTCCAGACAAAAATATGCATAGAGTTTTGCACCACAAGCATCAGTGGACAGGAGGTGACAGGCAGAAAGATATCAGGAGATACCAGGGACCTTCTGAATACAAAGGCCCAGCTATGGCCCCTCCTAACTTATTTGCCTGGGCACAACCGCTGACCTCCTTGAAGACTTGCCTGTTCTTGCTTCACAGCCTTGATAGATGCTTCCCCATTCTGTCCCATTCCAGGGAAGCGCCTGCTGAACCGAGTGTCTCAGGGGGTGAGGGCACGATTCACGACGCCGGAGGTGGCGGAGGAACAGATGCCGCTGCAAGACGGAAGCCACTGAGGGAGAGAACACCAGGAGGGCATGATGGATTGCTAAGACCACGTGAACACCCACCTCCAGCTATGCTCCTTCAATGGCTTGAGAGCAATCTGACCACGGCAACAACAAAACAAATCACTATTAAGGACCATGCAGCATGCCTTTTACAGGCCGGGTGTTTTTTATTTATTTATACATTTTTATTAGTTTTTTAACATCTCATTTTCAACAATCATTTAACATAAATTCTTATCTTATACAATATTTTAGACTTCCAGCAACAACCTCTGAAGATTTTCTGTTCTTTACCACTTATTCTGCATTTCTTAATCTCTCTATTACTTTTAATTATCTTTAACTAATAATCCTCTTCATAATCTTCCTTGCAATATTGCACATAATCCTCCTTACAGAACTTCTTACTAGTGTAACCTGTTTATTACAATTGCTTTTTAAATAGTTCAAATATTTACTCCAGTCTTCTAAGAATCTCTGGTCCTGCAGGTTTCGAATCCTTCCTGTTAATTTGTCTAATTCTGCATAGTCCATTAATTTCATTTGCCACTCTTCCTTCGTTGGTAATTCTTCTTGTTTCCATTTCTGTGCCAGTAATATTCTTGCTGCCGTTATTGCATATAAAAACAATTTACAATCCTGTCTGTTAATGTCCTCCCCTACAATGCCCAGTAAAAATGCTTCTGGTTTTTTAATAAATGTAGGCTGGGTGTTAACAGTCTTGCTTTAGAGGAAGGTTAGTTCAAAGAGTTTCCTATCAAAGAGTTTCAGCCTAAGACCATCAGAAGGGCCTGGCTGCAGTTATACCTGGGTGTGATGCCCTGGGACCCAGGTGGATGTCAGAAACGCTCACTAATTCAGACAACTTCATGTAGCAGGTTGCAGAATAGCAACATTTTGCATGAAACAGGAAAAAAATAATGAATTTATAAACTTTGCTCAAAACTACCTGTTGCTGTAGTAATTAGGAGCAGGCTGCTCTGACCAATGAGATTAGTTTTAGGGTCCACAGGCTGTTCACGCATTCTGTTATCCAATCATATTGCTGAAAGGGATTGTTCACGAGCTAGAGAGTGGTTGAATTTTGCATTCTAGGTCCAGAATTTGGAGGACTCCTCTGGGTCATTTATGCTTACTGCAGCCTGCAATAAAATCTGAACTCTTCCCACGATGCTGTTGTCTTTATTTGGCTAAAAAGCACACCTAAGTGAAGGGCTGCCCCCTCTCCCCCCCAACCAATTTGTGAAGACTGACTGCCTAAAAATGATGGATGTGATGACCAGGGAAGGGCTTACTTGCATTTCCATCAGGGCCAGGGCTGGGTGGAATAAAGGATTAATTTTGTCCATCACCCCCTCTCTTTGGGCTGCTGCCAAAATTGGCAGGGTCTTGCAGGGCTTTGCCCCAAGGTGGTTTGTTGCCAGGGGAACCCACGTAAGACCTGCTCACTTCATTAAGATGAACCAAGAGGCTTTCTTCAGCATCCTTCCCACCCCGAGCCGAAATTCCTCAGGATGTGAGTAAAGGCAGTCTCTGCAGAACTAACCTGCAGAACTCCCTGCCTTTGGAAAGTACACCTTGCCCATATTGAGTGCTAGAAGTTTGGAAGCCAAGCTGCTGCTCCATTTGTAGCTTAAACCAACCAGCAGTGATGGGGTGATGTTAACCCTACCCCCTCCAACAACTTTCTTGCTAAACATGTCCTGAAAGGGTAGCCTGGCTGAGTGCCTTAGTTTTTTCAGACAGAGAACCACCTATAGTTGGAGCAGCAACACAGCCATTAAACTCTCTGGGCGGCTTCCAACATTTATAAAAAAATAAAAGACATAATAAAACATTTAAAAAGAATGATCTGTTAATGAAGTTGCATTTTGTGCTTGTTTGAACTGGAGGTAGGCTGTCTGAATTGTGCATTGCTTTGTAACGATTTGTCGGGTCTCTGGACCGTAATAAAGATTGTTATTGTTGCTGTTGCATTTTCAGCACCAAGGTGAGCTTATTGGTCCCTACTGCAGAGAGAGAGAGAGAGAGAGAGAGAGAGAGAGAGAGAGAGACCCCTACTTGAGGGTGCTGTGGTACCCATGGGCCCTGCATTGGGGACCCCAGGTCTAAGCTCCTTTTAAACCACCTGAGTTGGTAGCTGATGGTGTAAGATATTTGGGTGCCCTTGAGCCAGTTACTACCTTCCCAGCCTAGCCTACCCCACAGGGTTGCTGTGAAGATGAAGCAGAAAGGGAGGGAGGATACATGTGTGTTCTACCATGAGCTCTGTGAAGGATAAGTGTGATAGAAATGTAATGAACAAATAAAAATAATGCTGTAGCAAATGCCATCGTTTAAGAATGTGCTACGTTAAGAAATTCCTCCTTTGGTCTCTCCTGAATCTTTCAGCATTTGGCTTCATGAGATGTGACCCTGTTGTGGGTTCTCATATTCTGGCAGAGGGAAAGCAGCTTCTTATCTATTTAAAAAATGTGCCCAAATTAATATTGGTCTGCCTAGTAGCCCAGTGTTGCCCGCACTGACTGGCAGTGGCTTTCCAGGATCCTAGAAAGAGAAAGGTCATTCCCGGAACTCGCTCAAGATCCTTCTAAGCAAAGATAACCGGGATTTGAACCTGGGGCCATCTGCAGGGAAAGCTTCCATCAGCCAACTTGGTCTGTAGTCAGGGATGAGGCGAGTTGTAGCCCAGCAACATCCGGTGAACCAAAGATTGGGGGGGGGCTTGCTCTGGGTGGGGTGCGAGCAAGTGTGGCAGCCCCTAGATAAAATCTGTCCTTCAGGTGGTGCTGTTTTTGGCCTGGAAAGTGTCAGAGCACCCAAAGAAAACTATGGCAGGTGAGCCAGAGTCTGGGGCCTGTTCTATCTACAACCACCTTTCCCCTCTCTGAACGAAGCAGCAAACGTAGCCCAGAAGATGTTGCTTGTCAAAATGCCGGAAGACAAAAGACGTGCGGCCCCCACACAGGTGCAGAACTGAAACCCCTTTGAGTGGGCTTGAAAGAGAGCAGGTGGAGGAAAGGTGGTCCCTGAAGATAGCCTTTGATGCAAACGGCGCCTCGGCTTCGCCTGAAGCCTCAGAGGCTCAACCACATCTTGAAACTCATGTGAGGAAACCCACAACGGGCTTGTCTCGAGTTGTGTCTCATCAGTGACAGAGGCAGCAGTTCTGGAAAAGGCCTCCCCTCTTTCAGGCCACAAGCAGCTGCTACTCGTGAGTTTTATCTCAGAAGCTTTTGCACTGTCCACCCATGAGCATCTCAACCATGACTACTCTTCAGTTCCTCCTCTTGCTTCTGGGTAAGTGAATCATCTCTTCTGCACAATTAACAGAAAGATCTCTTCTCTTTTTTTTTTGAAAAAAATGTTGCGCTGGTGGCGATATTTTTCTCTCCGCCTCGCTGCATCCTTTTCGCACGACATAGGAAGCTGCTGTGCATATACTGAAGTCCATCTTAGTTCAGTGATGTCTACGGTCCAGTTCAGTACTGAATGGCAGTGGCTCTCGGGGGTTTTAGACAAGGGGACTTTTCCAGCGCTACTTGGAGCTGCTGAAGATTCAACCTAGGACCTCCTGCATGAAAAGCAGCTGCACTGAGATAAAGCAAGATTTCAGCCCTTACTGCTCTGAATTAAGGGCTGATTTAAATAGGAACATAGGAAGCTACCTTATGCCATTGTCAGAACATTGGTCCATCAAGCCCAATATTGTTGATTGGGTTTCAGATGGGGGTCTCTCACAGCCCTACCTGTAGACGCTGGGCTTTGAACCCCGCTTGCAAAGAGAGTCGTGTCTCTTCCCCAGACTCTCTGGGATATGATTTTAGGTTATGTTCCCCCTCCCCCAATCCAAACTGCATCCTATCGTGCTTTCCAGACACAAGAGCTTCTTTCAAAGTGGTTTGCAATCATTTACGAACTTCAAAAGAATTCATTCAGTAATGAGACAAGTCACAGAGAAACCTAGTATAAAGCAGCTTTTGCAATACTGTTTGTGCTAAAAGACTTAGGTCCCAAATATCGGCCCCTACAGACTTCCGCAGATATAAAAATCAGCAGAGGGATGGTGGCAGCCCTGGAGAGAAGCATTTTCTGTAGCAGCCCCTAAGCTGTGGGACTCCCTCCCACAGAGCTGTGTTGTTAAGTTTTCATGGAATATGAATATACATCTCCTTACCCTGATCTTTGACAACTGAGATGTACATTCTTGGGACCAACTGTATTCCTGAGATAGCCATTTGTTTTAAACTGTTTTTAATGTCTCATTTTAAATTGTCGGGGTCTGCCTTGGGACCTTGGGGTGAAGAGCAGGTCGATAAATCAAATTATTATTAGCAGCAGCAACAACAACAACTCGAATTCTCCAAGTTGCCGTGTTGATAAAATAGCTCAGGAAGCCTCAAGTTTCCCAAAAGTTGTTAATTAGTTAATACATGTTGCACTGAGCACCAAGATAGGCTTCTATTTCATAGGAGGAGACCTGTAGCTCAGTGGTTGAGCTTTGCATGGAGAAGGTTCAATCCTCGGTGTCTGCAGGTAGGGCTGGGAATTGTCCCCTGTGATTCAGTCACACACCCGCAAATTTGGGCTGCACCGTCATCCTTTTCACATTCTTTTTGTGAAAAAGGGAAGTGGAGGGGAAATGCTCTGGAGAGCCTGGGCTGACGTGATGTCTCCTCTAGCCTGCCCACAAATAAGTCAGAATGAATACTCAATGAACAGGTCATTTGGAAGATCCATCAAACGCTGTGGGTGGCTCTGCCAGTCAGTGAGGCGGTGAGAGGGCATGTATTTTCTGGACTCATGGGGGATCCACGCTTGTGTTTTACTGGAACACTCAGAACCACTTCTTCTTCTTTGGCGATCGCTCGTAGCTGAGTAAGATAGTCTGCCAAAGCAGGGTTTTAAAAGTGAGTCCGTAAGTGACTGCAGAGGCCATGTCCTTCCACAGTGGGGACATTGGTTTCCAGGTGGGAGTTGATCACGGTGTGGATTTGCCAAGCGTGCCTTCCTCTTAGCACGTTTCTCCTTTTCATCCTTTGGTTTGAGCGTCTTCAAAACCCACTGCACCTTTGGCAAAGGCTGTTCTCCAACTGGAGCGCTCGCAGGCCAGTGTTTCCCAGCTGTCAGTGTTTATACTACATTTTTTTAGATTTGCCTTGAGACAGTCTTTAAATCTCTTTTGTTGACCACCAGCATTACGCTTCCCACTAACCACTAACCGGATCCCAATGCAAAAGATGCACACTTGGGAATTATAATGAGCCTTTGCAAATTTTCACCTAAGAAAACCCTAACTCCTCTTGGCACTTGAGATGTATATTTTAGGACCCACCTTATTTTTGTGATTGTAAGTTTTTAAAAATAATAATTATTATTATTTTACATTACAAAACAGCACTACACCACCCTCCCACCCTTTCTGAAGACGTGAGGTCAGACTACGCCGAAGCTCGCATCTCTTAAATTGTCATAGTCCATTTGTGTGGCATACAGTCATAGCAACCAATATTTTATATATATATAATGTGGAGAAGGTCCCACATTCTCCTCTTTTGCACTGCGCACAATAAAAGGATACCAATCCACTGGAAATGGGTCTTTTTGTTTCATTTCCATTGCTATTTTTCGTTTAATGGTTAATTTTTCCGTCAGCGCTAATGGCCAGACTATTTTTATGCTGAGTCGTCAATGTTGCACCATCTAAGAATTTCCAGTATTACCAGTCTGGCTCCTAATAAAGCCGGCCAAAAAGATGCTTAAGATGCAGGTTCAGATTGTCTCCCTAGAAAGTAAAGTCTGGGTCTCTGACTAGACTTTGTCTGGTTATCTCCAATTTCTTTGAACACATCCGCTCAGAATGCGGCCACCTTATCACAAGTCCACCACATTTACATCGCAAGTAGTTTTAAGTGGCTTTAACATTGTGTTTTAATTGTCACAAGCTGCCCCGGGACCTTAGAGTGAAGGGCAGGTGGTGGATCATGATAACAGTAATAATAATAATTTTAAATGCTGAGGCACATTTCACATCATGTCTGCCTTGGATCTGAGCTGAGAAAAGTTCATTTTCCACGGAAACTGCTCTGCTCTATACCTCTTATGTCTTCTTCTTCTGTGGCGATCCCTCGTAGCCGAGTAAGATTGCTTTCCATAAACACGGTTTTAACAATGAGTCCGTAAGTGACTGTGGAGGCCAATTCTGGATCCACTCGTCCTTCCACAGTGGGGATATTGGTTTCCAGGCAGGAGTTGATCACGGTGTGGATTTGCCAAGCGAGCCTTCCTCTTAGCACGTTTCTCCCTTGCGTCCTGAGTTCGAGCGTCTTCAAAGCCCATGAGACCTTTGGCAAAGGCTGTTCTCCAACTGGAGCGCTCGCAGGCCAGCGTTTCCCAATTGCCGGTGTTTATACTACATTCTTTTGAAAGAGTCTTTAAACCTCTTTTGTTGACCACCAGCATTGTTGTTGTTCAGTTGTTTAGTTGTGTCTGACTCTTCATGACCCCCTGGACCAGAGCACACCAGGCACTCCTGTCTTCCACTGCCTCCCGCAGTTTGGTCAAACTCCTGCTGGTAGCTTCAATAACACTATCCAACCATCTCGTCCTCTGTCGTCCCCTTCTCCTTGTGCCCTCCATCTTTCCCAACATCAGGGTCTTTTCCAGGGAGTCTTCTCTTCTCCTGAGGTGGCCAAAGTCTTGGAGCCTCAGCTTCAGGATCTGTCCTTCCAGTGAGCACTCAGGGCTGATTTTCTTCAGAATGGAGAGGTTTGATCTGCTTGCAGTCCATGGGACTCTCAAGAGTCTCCTTCAGCACCATAATTCAAAAGCATCAATTCTTCGGTCATCAGCCTTCTTTATGGTCCAGCTCTCACTTCCATACATCACTACTGGGAAAACCACAGCTTTAACTATACGGACCTTTGTTGGCAAGGTGATGTCTCTGCTTTTTAAGATGCTGTCTAGGTTTGACATTGCTTTTCTCCCAAGAAGCAGGCGTCACTCTTTCCATTTTTAAGTTTGGAATAGAGTAGTTGCTTTGGCAGATGCTCGTCAGGCATCCGCACAACATGACCAGTCCAACGAAGTTGATGTTGTTAATGCACGATGCCGATGTACCAATCTGATCCATTAATTAAAGGTTTTGGGCAAATTGGATTCAGCTGTAAAAGATTCGCCCTCAGGAATTATAATGAGCATTTGCAAATTTCCACCTAAGAAAAGGCAAAGAAAATACCTCCCCCCCCCCCCGGCTGCATGTTAAATGCTGAGAGACATTTAGCGTCATGTCTAGTTTGGATCTGAGCTGCTATGCCACAAAAACCACTGTGCTCTGCAAGACTTCTTCAAGATGAGACTTCCCCATCTAGAAAAATGAGTTCTCAGGGGGTGGGGAGCTTAGTCATATCAATAAAAATAGCAATTCCATCCCACACTTGCAGTGAACCTGTTATTTAAAGTAGCAGCACTTACTTTCGGAACTCCCAGCCCATTGATGTTAGAAAGATGCCTTTACTGCATTTCTTTCGGCACCTGCAAAAAAGTTTGTTTCGGCAACCTTACTAGGGCATATAATTTTAGCCTGAGAGCGGGCGTTATGTAACACTAAACCAAGGTTTGGAGTTACATCTGAACCACTGCTGTATCAGAACCATAGCTTTCCTACTGAAATATACTCGGAGTCCTGTAGTGATTTCATGCTCTTTATTGCAGCTTGTAAAACAGTGATTGAATTGCCCCCCAAACCTCAAGCTTTTTATATACATTATTTACACAATGAGTCCCATCTGATTGGCTGATTCTGCTTCCCTCCTGAAACCTGATTGGTCTTTTCCTGCCGGCCAATCACTTGTTGCATTCTAGGATCCTACTTGCCTATTGTTCTAGGATCCAAGCTTAGTATATAACACCTACCCAACTTGCAGCTTCTTTCTCCTTCCTAGAATAAGGTGGAAGGGATCTCCAAAGGCCATTTAGTTCAACCCCTGCTGCCAGGCTAGGGCCACCCATCACCCTCTGTTAAAAACCCACTGACTTCTGAGGCAGCCCATTCCTCATCAGAATGTACTTCCTAATGTTTAAACAAATTCCCACCTGCTGTCATTTCAAGCCGCCAGTCACTCATGGTCTTTCTCTCAGCTCCAGATCCTCTGAAGAGCTTTAACATTGATACCAGCTGGAGGTGGGTCTCACCACAAGTCTCCCCTTCCTTTGGACATCAGGTTTTCCAACACACAGATGGGCGACAGAACTGGTAAGGGGAAACGTCTTGAGGCTGGTTGAGGGGGAAAGGAAACTGCCCCACTTCCTGCAACTGGAAGAATTTTCCAGAGAAAGGTGCAAAATTGCATCCATGTGTGTGCCAAATCACCACATAAATCACTGCACAGCCCTGACTCAGTGGCTTGGACTGAGACAAAGGATTGTTTTCGCACATTAAACACATAAATTGGGTAACCAACGGCAGAAGGTCAGTCTCATTTGAAAACCGCTGTGTGATTGGCCACTGTGAAGGACAGATGGGGAGAAATGTGATTTTGTTTGCATTTGAATAAGAAATTATCGAATTCCCATTGCTCGGACCAATCCACGAAAATGGAAGCCTTCCAAATTCACGCTTCTCCAAATTTTACGATGCAGTTCTCCAACAAACACTGTGCACAAAAATGCATATATATGGGGAAAGAGTACCTAAAAATGGATATATTAGCAAAAATAAAGATGCAATTACCCTGCAGAGAAATTGGTTGCAAAAATGTTCATACTGTATGGCATATAAAAATATGGAAATTAGGAGAAATGTGTACTAGAGTATTGATGAATTTTCATGAGGACTTCTTGTACAAAAATAACTTGCAAACTGGTACAGAAATGTGGGGAACAGAATCTAAGGTGGGGTTATTATTATTGTTTAAGTGAGGCACTGAAATTGACAGCTGTGTCCATCCCTCGAGGTAAGTTTGGCTGAGAGATAGTGGCTGATCGAAGGTCAGCACTTCAGAGAGCTTCATGGCAGAGTGGAGATTCGAACCCGCTGAGCCAGCTCTTTGGTCCCTCTACCCTAGTGCTGTCTGCTCTGACCGGCAACAACTTTCCAAGGTCTCGGGTAGACAAGGCTCTTTTCTCATGGACCCGCTCCCTGGTCCATTTTTAACTGGATATTCCAGGGATCAAATCTGGGTCCTTCTTGTTTGCAAGAAAAAGTGTGTTTGCTCTTCTGTTCCGTTGTAGCTCCTTGTTGAGTTAACATAATTATGAAGGAATGGGGGTGTTTCTCAGATGCATGAACAAAATCTTAAAAGCTGCACAGAGGCTTGCTCTGGCCCACAGTGAGGAATATAGATTAGTGGTTTCCTCTAGCATATCCTGCCAGAGGGCTGCGCTGAGAAATAGATTTTGGTTTATATTATAAAACATGCTTTTTCATACTAGGCAGACAAGGGGAAGAATGATGACGATCACTCAATGGAGCTTCTGCATCCAGGAATATTCTACCCCCTGAGTAACAAAAAGCGCCAGGAGGGCTGTTGTCTCCCAGCCCTGGCTGTAGGGCGGTTGCATGTCCAACTTTGCAGGGGGACATCTTAGGTCTGCTCCAGGGCTGGAGAGCCTTTGGCCCTCCAGATGTTGGACTCCCAGCTCTCAGCAGCCAGCATGGCCAATGGTCAGGGGTGCCAGTTCCTGGGGACCGAGCCCTTTGGGCGGCCCCCAATATATATATTTTATATATATAATTTTTTATTAGTTTTTCAACATATCATTTTCAACAATAGTTAAACGAACTTTTACATCTTATACAAATTTTTTGACTTCCATCAATCACATCTGAAAATTTTCCAATCTATTCACTTAATTTACATTTCTTGTTTTCACTATTACTTTTAAATCTCATAACTAATATCTCTTTTTTTCTCTTCTTTGCAATATTTCATATATTTCTCCTTACAAAACTTCTTGTAGTCCTACTAGCGTAATTTGTTGATTACAGTTGCTCTTCAAATAATTCGTATATTTCTTCCAATCTTCTGTAAATCTCTGGTCCCGCAGGATTTGAATCCGGGGGGGGGGCAATATTTTGGGGGTGGGGGTCTGGCCCCCTCAAAGTCCAAAAAGTGTGGAGGACAAGCACGTAGTCAAGTATGAGGTTGCCTCCCCCCCCGGCCCTTGGAAGCTGGTGCTTCTGCTAATGGTCAGTCTGAAGAGTTGTCCAGTTTAACTTAAAGATAAAGAGCCCTAAGAAAGGAGAGTGGGGGTCGAGGGGGGCAGTTTAGGACCTTGAAGTTGGCATCAAAACTTAGCACTTGCATAACATATTGAGCAAGCAAGGACACAACTCACCTGGGAACAGTCTTCCCCACTATGGTGAAATGGGTTGCATTTCTATGTAATGATTTAGCCAAGGGCACCCATCCATATGGACGCGGGTGGTGCTGTGGGTTAAACCACAGAGCCTAGGACTTGCCGATCAGAAGGTCGGCGGTTCGAATCCTCGTGACGGGGTGAGCTCCCGTTGCTCGGTTCCTGCTCCTGCCAACCTAGCAGTTCGGAAGCACGTCAAAGTGCAAGTAGATAAATAGGTACCGCTCCGGTGCGAAGGTAAACGGCGTTTCTGTGCGCTGCTCTGGTTCGCCAGAAGTGGCTTAGTCATGCTGGCCACATGACCCGGAAGCTGTACGCCGGCTCCCTCAGCCAATAAAGTGAGATGAGTGCCGCAACCCCAGAGTCGGCCACAACTGGACCTAATGGTCAGGGGTCCCTTTACCTTTACCAGTTTAGCTTAAAGATAAAAAGCTCTAAGAAAGGAGAGTCGTAATGGGGGTCATGGTTGGGGCAGTTTAGGACCTTGAAGTTGGCATCAACACTTAGCACTTGCATAACATATTGAGCAAGCAAGGACACAACTCACCTGAACACAGTCTTCCCCACTATGGTAAAATGGGTTGCATTTCTACGTAATGATTTAGCCAAGGGCACCCATCCATATATGAACTAGCATGCGTACTCTTTAAATCTAAATTTCCTGTGCATTTCGTGCAAATTTTCACCCTCTTTCTGTTGGGGTCCGCTAATCAGGCCCAAGCTGCCTTGGTCACCCAAAAGCCAATAAATGTCATATAGACAGAGGAGATTCCCATATTCACTCGTTTATTCAGCTGAGTAAAACAGAGCGGGTGAGCCACACTCACCAGTGTGATGGTGAAGCCACGCCAAATAGCCTTTGTTCATACATTTTATAGGAATTTCCCCCTTTCAAGGTTCCTTGCACTGATAGAAACAGGACCCCCTGCCTGGAGACCTTGAAAGGGACAGCTGCCAGGCAGAGGGAGGTTTTCCTGAAAATCGCATAGCAACTGTTATCTGGTCTTCACATATTTGTGGCTCACCCTCCTAAATTCTAAAGCAGGCGGTTTTTTACAGAAGCAAAATGGCATCAGTTGGGCTAACCCAAAAAACACGATAAGAGCAGGCCGCTGTGGCTTTTCCTGAGACCCCAAACTTTCGTTTATTTTGGAGATTTTGAAAAACAAACATGAAAAAAGCTCAGCAAATTTGGCCGCCTCCCTGCCAAAAAAAAAGCTCAAAAACTTTTGTGTCTGGATCGTTGCTCTCCAGATCTCTGCTTTCACAGAGTTTCACACTAAATGGCAGGCTAGGTAAATTCTCCATGTGTTTGGATCTGACCATTCTTATCCCCACTGTTCTTCTTCTGTTCTCTGTTTGCAAAGAGACTGGATTTTTTCTCTCTCTCTTTCTCTCTCTGCCTCAAAAAAGGATTGTAGCTGCTTCCTTGGGGCCAGGCGACTTGGGCAAGCTGTATAAATGCAACCCGCAGGATAACCATTGCGAAGCAGTAAGCTTAGGCGGTACGTACACTTCTTAATTTTTCATATCCGTGAATCCATACCTGGTCTTCCTTCAAAAGTATGCAAGGCGAGGCAGCTCGTGCAAAACGAAGCCACCCAATTTGTTGGGTGGCTTCCAACAAATTAAAACACAATACTACATCAGACGTTAAAAACTTTCCCAAACAGTGGGGAGGTGAAAATAAAGTTGTGTGTGTGTGTATGTGTGTGTTCTCATATCTATACCCCCAATTTCTTTCTTCTCCCTCTCAAGAAAACATTCGGAAACTGAAAAAGCTCCGGTCTGGTATTGCTGTAGCCCAAAGCCCAGAACATATCCTGGTAAGTCGCAGAGAGATTTTGCAGAGTTGAGTGTGTTTTGCTTTGTAAAGAAAGTTGCCTCAAGCCAGGGATACAATTAAGATTGTGGCAACAAAGTCTAGTCATGTAACTAGCCATCAAGGATTAGGTGGGCCAAGAAGGGGCCGCGTGTTTTCTCACCCCACCAGCTGCCCCCATGCCATGCCGTGTATAAATCTTAAATTCAACATACCCACTTAATTCATCCTTTTTTTAGTTCCAAGGCCACCATTTATTTCCATGCATTTATTCACCTTTGAACATTTTACATGTATGGTACATGACAGAATTGGGGAACCTGTGGTCCGGCAAAAGTGGGGGAAACAGAGAGTTCCAGACCAAAGAAGCCTTCTGGTAAAGACATCAGAAAATATGAAAAGTATCTGAAACTGGGAAGTGAACCCTGACCAGAGGGAAGACCTCATACAAATCCTGGGAACAAGCCTGAGAGTTAACTGGGGCAGAGTTAGGAAGGGTAATTGGCTAATATTATTGTAACCTTAAACATCAGGAAGAACTTTCTGACAATAATAATAGTAGTAGTAGTAGTAGTAGTAATAATAATAATAATAATAATAATAATAATAATAATTTATTACTACCCCGCCCATCTACATGGGTTTCCCCAGCCACTCTGGGCAACTCCCAACAAAATATTAAAAATACATTAAGACATCAGTCATTAAAAACTTCCATAAACAGGGCTGCCTTCAGATGTCTTCTAAAAGTCAGATAGTTGTTTATTTCCTTGACATCTGGTGGGAGAGCGTTCCACAGGGCGGGTGCCACTACCAAGAAGGCCCTCTGCCTGGTTTCCTGTAACCTCACTTCTTGCAGCGAGGGAACCGCCAGAAGGCCCTCAGCGCTGGATTTCAGCGTCCGGGCTGAATGATGCGGGTGGAGACGCTCCTTCAGGTATACTGGACTGAGGCCATTTAGGGCTTTCAAGGTCAGCACCAACACTTTGAATTGTGCTTGGAAACGCACTGGGAGCCAATGTAGGTCTTTCAATACCAGTGTTATGTGGCCTTGGCGGCCGCTCCCAGTCACCAGTCTAGCTGCTGCATTCTGGATTAGTTGCAGTTTCTGGGTCACCTTCAAAGGTAGCCCCACTTAGAGCACATTGCAGTAGTCCAAGCGAGAGATAACCAGAGCATGCACCACGCTGGCGAGACAGTCTGCAAGCAGGTAGGGTCTCATCCTGCGTACCAGGTGGAGCTGGTAAACAGCTGCCCTGGACACAGAATTGACCTGCACCTCTATGGAAAGCTGCGAGTCCAGAATGACTCGCAGGCTGCACACCTGGTCCTTCGGGGGCACAGTTGCCCCATTCAGGACCATGGAGTCCCCCACCCCCACCCACCCCCTGTCCCCCCAAAACAGTACTTCTGTCTTGTCAGGATTCAACCTCAATCTGTTAGCCGCCATCCATCCTCCAACAGTAAGAGCTGCTGGACAGTGGTCTCCCTCTGGAGGTTGTAGACTCTCCATCCTTGGAGGTTTTAAAGCAGAGATCCTGGATGCTTTTAGTTGAGATTCCTGCATCTCAGGGGGTTGGACTAGATGACCCTCGGGTCCCTTCCAACTCTGCAATTCCATGATTCTCTCTGTGAAGTGAAAGGGGCTCCACCCCTTTGCCATCTCACACAGAGTTCTCTTTGATGCTTTGCATTCTTCTCAATGGCCCATCCCCAAGCTAGCACCTCACCCAGGAGGCCACCCTGGCTTACTTAGCCCTTAACACATGCTGATTCCAGAGGATTGGCATTGTCTAGCACACAGCCCAATGCAAACAGGTCTGGCCGAATGTCTGTCTGATACACTATTTCCCAGTTTTAACACTGCCAAACATTTATTAAATTCCGACACTTGCTCAGTCCGGAGATCACAGTCGCCTTGCGCCCGCAAACTCATAACAATATAAAGTCTCTGCTTCTCGGTTTCTTTGTCTCTCTCCCTTGACAGGCTTGTCTCCAGCACAGACGGCGTCAGCGGCGTCGAGTCACGGAGGAGCTGAACGGTCTTTGTGTGCTGCTTGCAGCTGACTTCCAGGAGAAGGCTTTTATCAACCTCACAGACATCAGTACGAGATGTAGATGTGTATTTAGATGTAATTGGCCACAGCCGTGTTCGGTTCATCGGGTGCAGGAGGAAACTGGCCCCGTGTCCTGAGCCGCCATTTGTGTCTGACATTTCCTCTACCATATTTCCCCCTGAGCTGTGGTTTTGTGTCTGATTCTAACCCCAAAGCCACCATCTCCCCTGACGCGGCCAAGTTGCACCTAGCCCAGTCCCTTGAGCCGCCATTTTGCATCTGATTCTGCCCCTGGCGGTTTCCCAGTTTGCATATGGTTTCAAGAAGCCCAAATGAACTGCAAAACTGGCCTGAATTTCTCCCCTCATCCCTGCTCTACGCAGGTACAATGAAAAGAATGTCTGCTTGCTGATTAGCTTTGACTGTCAGATGTGAGCATCCCTTTGACTTTGTCCAGCCTTTCTCCTGCTGCCTTTGACTGGTTCTTATCTGGTGGTCCTCCTGTTCCTTCAGATGCCTTACTGTCCCTCTTGTTTTTATCGGTTTCTGCACTTCCTGTAGTCGAAACCAAGTTATTAAGCCAGAGGAGCGAAGAGCGGGGGAAAAGGGACACCCACAGTCACGAAATCGGTGGCGTTGACACCAACCAGTTTGGTTTGGCTGCTAGTACTGTATGCAAAGGTGAGATTGAAAGATGGAACTTTTGTTTTGTTTAATTGATTACATTATTATTATTATTATTATTATTATTATTATTACTACTACTACTACTACTGTATAACATTTACATTTGATTTGGGGTTTGTTGGAGGCATGCGGCTGGGTGCTGTGAGATTCCAACCACGTTTGGATCACACAATTAACACACTATGATACCACTTTAAACATTCTTAAAAAGGTAAAGGTAAAGGGACCCCTGACCATTAGGTCCAGTCGCGGACGGCTCTGGGGTTGCGCGCTCATCTCGCTTTATTGGCCAAGGGAGCCGGCGTACAGCTTCCGGGTCATGTGGCCAGCATGACTAAGCCACTTCTGGCGAACCAGAGCAGCGCACGGAAACGCCATTTACCTTCCCGCCGGAGTAGTACCTATTTATCTACTTGCACTTTGAGGTGCTTTTGAACTGCTAGGTTGGCAGGAGCAGGGACTGAGCAACGGGAGCTCACCCCGTCACGGGGATTCGAACCGCCGACCTTCTGATCTGCAAGTCCTAGGCTCTGTGGTTTAACCCACAGCGCCACCCACGTCCTTTTAAACATTCATAAAAGGTAAAGGTAAAGGTACCCCTGGCCGTACGGCCCAGTCATGACCGACTCTGGGGTTGCGTGCTCATCTCGCTTAAGAGGCCGGGAGCCAGCGCTGTCCGAAGACACTTCCGGGTCACGTGGCCAGCATGACGAAGCTGCTCTGGCGAGCCAGCACCAGCGCAGCGCGCGGAAACGCCATTTACCTTCCCGTTATAAAGCGGTACCTATTTATCTACTTGCACTTAGGGGTGCTTTCGAACTGCTAGGTGGGCAGGAGCTGGGACCGAACGACGGGAGCTCACCCCGCCGCGGGGATTCGAACTGCCGACCATACGATCGGCAAGCCCTAGGCACTGAGGTTTTACCCACAGCGCCACCCGCGTCCCAACTTTAAACATTCATAGCTCCCCACAAATAATTCTGGGGGCTGTATTTTGTGAAGGGAACTCTGTTGCAGCAGAAAAATAAAGATCTGCCTTGCTTTCACTGCATCCTGCCTTCATCCATTCATCTCTGACCGATCATGGACTTAGGGGGCTCTGTTCCTTGGGGAGTTGGGCAGCAAAAGCCAACCGCCCTTATTTTTCTATATCGTGAAGGGTGCTTGGAGTTGGTAGGAGAAGACTCCCTTTCCATTCCCCTCCCAGAGCTACAGTTCCCAGAGTGTTTTAACACACAATCCCTCTTCAGAACTGTAGCTCTGGAAAGAGAATGGAGGGTCCCCTAGCAAATCTCAGCTCCCAGAATTCTTTGGGAGGAAGCCATGACTGTTTAAAGTGGTATTATACTGTTACGGTAAAATCTGGGTGCGGGGCTACTCTGCCACCCAGCTCGTTGGACTAGGTCCGCGGGTCCCTGCGGAAGAAAATGAGCTCAGCCGGAGACAGGAGCAAACTGCAGAAGATCCAAGTTTATTGCGCAACAGGTTCAAGGCGAGATTGAACAGCGAGAAAGGGGTGACATGAACTTTTGAAATTTCCCTCCATGTCCCAGAATACAGTGCAAAATACATCCCAGTTACATCATGAATACATTAAGAAGAGGTTGGGTTACACAGATTACATCACGAATACATTAGGAAGAGGTTGGGTTACACCGGATTAACATATGGAGGAGGGAGGGGGGAATATGCAGAGCTGGAGATATGCGCAGATAAGCACATCCTGAGAAGACAATGGTCCATGTATGCATAGTCTGTCACCTGGCATCGCCCGGAGGAAGGGCTTGGCAGAGCGATTTGACAGGATTAGGGTCTTGACACCTTGCTTGAGGGATTATGGAGGGCACGGGAGGTGTCATGGAGTCCTAGAGAAATTGAGCAAATTGGCATGTTGATTTTCTATGAATTTTATAGATTTTAGTCCCTTTTGACACTGACAATTGGAAATAAATGGATATATTGTAGCGAAGAAGGAGGTGAAGAAGAAGACATGCCCCCCCCTTCCGTATCAATACTAATTTAAATACGTAGTGTGAATGCGGCCTCTGGGTTTGGTTCTTTTGTTTGTGTGTCTCTTTCTTCATAAAACCACTGCCACAGTGTCTGGTGCTTTCAAAGACGGCAGGTCCCTGCCCCGAGGCGATTGCCATTTGATGCAGGAAGGCAATTTCCCAAACTTATGGGTTGAACTCCAGATTGCCAGCATTTTCCAGGAGAAACTATTAATATTAGTAGTAGTAGTAGACAGTGCTTTTTCTGAAAAATTGTTTAGGGGGTACTCTCATTTTGACTCAAGAAAACCACCATTTTATAGTTCAAATCAGGGAAAATGAATACAGTAAATGGACAAAAGTACTGTACAAAGATTCACAAAATGTTTAGGGTGTCTGCGTACCCCTGGAGAAAAAGCACTGGTAGTAGATATATAGTCCTGCTTTCCTCCAAGGATCAAAAGGTGGTGTACATGCTTCATCCCTTCTCCATTTTATCTTCCCAGTGACCCTGTGAGGTGGGCAGTGACCAGGCTGAAAGATGGCAACTGGCTCAAGGTCACCCAGTGATTACTCCCCCCTCTCCAAAATCCTTAATCCCTTCACTTTTTTTTTTAATTACAGTTTTGTCCCACTGCTCCTCCAAGGAATTCTAGTAGAAATAGTCCCTCCCTCTGTCGTTTCATCCTCACAAAAACCCTGCAAGCTAGGTCAGTCTGCAAGATGGGTGACTGGCCCAAGGTCATCCAATGAGCTTTGTGGCTGAGTTGAGATATGAATTCTGTATGCCGATAAAGGTTGATTAATTGATTGATTGATATGAATCCTGATCTGCTGGGTACTGTTCTGACATTCTTTATACTTAATTTCCTCCTTTTTAAAGAAAAATATTCTACAGATGGGAGCTCTGAGTTTGGCTGCAAAATTCTTGAATCTAACAACAACAACAACAACAACAACAACAACAACAACAACAACAACAACAACAACGGAAACAACTACTACCTGGAGGATGAGGAGGAGGATGAATCCTGTAAGTCAGGGATGGGTAGAAGGAAGATGAGGTGTGTGTGTGTGTGTATCAACATCTGGAGAGTTACAGGAACCCCACCTCTGCAGTATAAATCTAAGCAAGTAATAAATCCAGTATCAGGAATAAATCAAATGTTTGTTTCCTTCTGTTTACCCTGCCTCTTCCTGACGGCTGCGGTCTTGGCCTAGGGCTCAGCAGCACAGAACTGGTCTCAAATACCAAAAGTCATTATTATAGCTGAGAGGGTTTCTGAACATCCACAGGTTAAAGTCCCAAATAAAGCTCAACAAGTTTTGGAGGGCCACCCCTAGGAAAAACCCTGGCTTTGCCACCCCCTTCACTACTGAGCAACCACAGCAGTCCACAGTCATTTGTGCTTAGAGAGCAGGGTGCCTTGGTCCAAGGGTATAGAATGGCCCCCAAACCTCTCACTTTTAAAAATCATGTATTAAAATTAGTCCGGTAAGGGCTCTTTCCACGGTCCATCTCATGATCTTTTCCGCGGCAGACCTGCGGACTGAGATTGCCTTGGTCCTGGACGGCTCCGGGAGCATCGACCCGCCGGACTTCGAGCGAGCCAGGAATTTCACCTACAGCTTGGTGAAGACGTCCTACGAGAAGTGTTTGGAGGTGACTGCCTCTGCCTTTTGGGTTCATGATGGTGTTGTAACAAAACCTGCCCGTTTTCCCTTATGGCGTATCCAAGAGCCCGTGTAGAGTCCTTAAGTGGGTTCCCTATCGGTAGGAGAAAATAACAGAGGCCAACCAGAGAACAGTGAGAAGCAAAGCAGCTAGTAAGCCTGATCTTTATTAAAACTGTTGCAACAGGATCCTCACTCACCACACACAGGAGGGAGGAGGAACCCAGAACAAAGGGGTGCCCACCCTTATGTAGACTTTTGAAATTGCCCACCCTCAAGCTCCAGACCACCCCCAGAAACATCATCCATCCATCACAAAAAGAGGTGGTTTCCAACAAAATCTTGTCTGGCAGAAAACCTGTCAATGGTCACTGATTGGATCACCTGGCTAGGCTGGCCTTTCTTTTGTAATGATAAACACTTAATTCCTGAGCCAGGTCACAGGCTCACCCTATTCATACCTTAAATGTGCCCTTAAGGCAGGAGTTGTGAGCACAGAGACAATGGGGAGGTTTTTTCATTTCCTCCCTCCTTGCAGAGAAACATTTGGTCAGTTTGGGAGAGTCAGAACGGTTTCAGGACTCTCTTCCTGTACTGTTTCAGACATGTGGTTTATGTACATGTTTGCCTTGTACATTTAATTTACATATTTGAGACCTTAAATTCTTATAACAACGGTGCCGGGGTTCTGCCAGGGACCAGGGCGGGTGTGTCATCTCCTGAACGCAATCTCTGCCTGCTCACACAGTTTCCTTCTTTATTCCAGTGCGTCTTCGCCTTGGTTCAGTATGGAGACATCATCCAGACAGAATTCGACCTGCAAGAGGAGAGGGGCAGCGCCGCCCTGGAAAAAATTAAGGCCATGACTCAAGTGCGCAACACGACCTGGACTGCATCCGCCATCCAGCATGTCCTGTGAGTTAATGGGAACCCTTGAGGAAGAACTCTGTGTGACCCAGCGGTCTGCTTCTGGGATATTCTGCCCCAAAGCTTGCAAACCAAACAGTCATTTCTTTCCCCTTTTCTTTTTTAAACAGAGATTCCATCTTCAACCCAAATTATGGGTCGCAGCTGAATGCCTTGAAGATCATAGTTGTGTTGACAGATGGGGAGATTTTTTTGGACCCCTTGGACATAGAAACCGTGATCAGTTCGACCAGGGAGGCAGGCATCACACGTTACGCCATTGGGGTGAGCTTTGGGTTCAGCAAGGATCTTACAGGCATTTTTCCACTGGACATATCAGAACCTGAATTCTTTGGCATGACATCAGGTTGGGGAGGTGGGTTTTGGTCATGTGAAGGGAATTAATAATAATAAGCGCTCAACCTGAAGCACATTCAACCCGAGGTATGACTGTATTGTAAGTGAGCTGGAACTGGTCTGTGACTGTAATAATAAAATTCAAATCCAGTATTGCCGGGGTTGGGGTGTCCTCTACAGGTCGGGGAGGCCTTCGAGAAGCCAAAAGCACTGCAGGAGCTGCAGCTGATCGCCTCTGACCCCGATGAAAGTCACCTCTTCCGCGTGACAAATTATTCTGCCCTGGCCGTCCTCCTTTCCATGTTGCAAGAGAAGATCATTGGCATTGAAGGTGAGGCATTGGGGTATTTGTTCTTAGGCAAAGCTGCCTTAAACCAAAGGTGAGCTGAAGGGGAACAAACCCAAAGGAAACTAAAAGTCTGTACGTTCCCTTTTTCAGTGTATAGTTAAGAGAGTAAGCTATGAGCCAGGATGTCCTCCTGAGCAGAACATCAGAAGTTTCCTCACACCAGATCGGATCGTTGGTTCATCTAGCCCAGTTTGCCTGCTCTGACTGGCAGCAGCTCTCCAGAACATTCCTAACCATACCTGGAGGTGCTGGGGTTTAAACCTGCCATGCAAAACAGGGCTTTAAAAATAAAGTAAGGTGCTACTCCTCATGGTCCTGAATAAAGGGTTGATATAGGAATATAGGAAGCTGTCTTATAGCAACTTAGACCATTGGTCCATTGGGGCTGGGGGGGTTGCTGTGGGGGGGGGGGGTTGCTGTTGGTTTTTTGCATCTTTGTTTTAGATCTTGTTCTGATTTATGTGGAAATTGTTCCACTTGGTTGTGAATTTTTTTAATGTCTTATTTATTTTTCTTTTTTAAAAAATCATTTTTATTGATTTTCCAATAAAAACAGTCAATCAACATATCTGCATCATAATCCAATTATAAACAAGAAACTTAAATTTTAAAAAAAGACCAAACTGTAGTCCAAATTGTAATTATTAATTTTTCCGGGCTCCCCATAGTCTGGACCTCTGAAGCATATCTCCAAATCTTCAGTCCTGCCTCTTCTCGTTGTTTTCATATTTTCCGCCTTCTGGTCTTATCACTTTAAAGTTCTCTAATGTCTTATTTAATTTTCATGACTACTTTTGTTATGTTGTAGTTATCTAATTCCCGCCCTTGGTCGCAAGCCGCCTTGAGCATGGTTTGAACTGTGTGAGAAGGCAGCATACAAAATAAAATTGTCTACCCTGACTGGCAGGGACTCGCCAGAGTTTTAGGCAAGGAATATTTCTCAGCCCTAACTGGAGACGCCAAAGATTTAACCTGGGACCTTCTGCATGCAAAGCAGGTGTTCTGCTATTGAGCTTTGGCCCTCTCAGAAATACCTCACTGACTTTCCTTCTCAGGAACGGAAGGTGCCATCTTGGAATTCGACCTGGCCCAAAGTGGCTTCAGCGTTCACCTCCTGCATGAGGTAAAAATGTGGTGTTGGTGTTTTTTGGGAGGTGGGCAATAGAAAAAATTCTAGAGTTGAAAGGGACCTGAGGGTCATCTAGTCCAACTCGCCGCAACGCAGGAATTATGAACTTACTGGCCAGCCAGTGCTATCTGAGTTTCTTTGCTTTTTTTAAAAGACCTATTTAACTTCAAGTTTCGTTGGACATGTTGTTGTTGTCATTTAGTCATTTAGTCGTGTCCGACTCTTCGTGACCCCCTGGACCAGAGCACGCCAGGCCCTCCTGTCTTCCACTGCCTCCCGCAGTTTGGTCAAACTCATGTTCGTAGCTTCGAGAACACTGTCCCACCATCTTGTCCTCTGGCGTCCCCTTCTCCTTGTGCTCTCCATCTTTCCCAACATCAGGGTCTTTTCCAGGGAGTCTTCTCTTCTCATGAGGTGGCCAAAGTCTTGGAGCCTCAGCTTTAGTTGGGCATAGACCTTCTTAAACCAAGGATGAGCAGCCTGTGGTTCTCTAGTTGTCGTGGGACTACAGCTACCAAGACAGACAGAAGAAAGGACTTCTTCACACGGCACATAGACCCTGAAACTCACTCCCTGCAAGAAACAAAGATGGCCACTAACTTGAAGGGCTTTAGAAAAGAGGATTACCTAAATTAATAGAGGAAAAGGCTTACCAGCGGCTACTGAAAATATTATGGTGCACCCGCCCCCCACCGTATGTAATTCAAAACAAAAACAATATTAAATACTAAAATAACATTTTAAAACAAAACAAAACATTGATTTATTGCAACACATGACAGGATCCGATTTCCTCCTATTCCTTCGATCTATATTAGGGCTACTAACTTTGTCTGGATTTTCACTTTGGGGAATATGACAACCCTAATCCATATTAGGATTTAACCTCCTTCCGTCAGGCCTGTAAGACAGAGCTAGTCCACCTGGCCTTTAATTTGAATTCAGCCGGATCTTTTATTTCCCTTTTATGAAGATCACCCACTCTGAGACCCCACAGCTAATTCTCCCCTGGCCTCCTCGCTGGCCCAAGTAGGACCAATTCAGCCAGCTAGCCCTGGGGATTATCTAATTGATTTTTGAATTTTATTGTTATTCATGTTTTTATACTGTATTTTATGCTGCTTTTCTAATTAAGTGTTTTAAATTTGTTGTTAGCCGCCCTGAGCCCAGTTTTTAACCAGGAAGGGCGGGGTATAAATAAAAATTTATCATTATCATTATTATTATTGTATCAGGATGCCCCCGGTTTAGGTGGGGATAACTAATAAAAAGGAACCCAGATAGATAGATAGATAGATAGATAGATAGATGAGAGAGAGAGAGAGAGAGAGAGAGAGAGAGAAGCAGGGGATCTATCTATCTATCTATCTATCTATCCATCTATCTATCAGCGTTCACCACCCCCATCGTTCTACCCGGACACGGAGGTCCAGCACTGAGGGCCTTCTGGCGGTTCCCTCACTGGGAGAAGCCAAGCTACAGGGAACCAGGCAGAGGGCCTTCTCGGTAGTGGCACCTGCCCTGTGGAACGCCCTCCCACCAGATGTCAAAGAGAAGAACAACTACCAGACTTTTAGAAGACATCTGAAGGCAAACCTGTTTAGGGAAGCTTTTAATGTTTGATGTACTACAGTATTTTAATATTTTTTTGGAAGCCGCCCAGAGTGGCTGGGGAAGCCAAGCCAGATAATAAATTATTATTATTATTATTATTATTATTATCTATATATCTAATGGCTAAACTTTCACTGACCCAACTGCTATCTGTTTCAGCGCTATATACTTTTTGGTGCTGTGGGAGCGTTTGACTGGGCCGGAGGGGTTCTTCTCTATGACATGGCAGACAACACCGTGGTTTTCTTGAACGAGTCAATGGGCACTACTGGTGCAAAAAACGGCTATTTAGGTAAGGACCCTCTCAGATGACTGTTGTTCTGCAGCTCCTCTGAATGTTTTGACTTTCAGGGACACAGGAAGCTACTTTTTCCCAGGGTCTGACAGTCGATCTATCTAGCTCCATATTGTCAGCACAGAGCGTTGCCTGCAGGAGGATCAAACCTTCTGCATGCAAAGCAGGCACACTGCCATTGAGTTCCCTTATAAAGAAAGCAAGATTCTAGTCTTTGTGGTTCGGTATTAAGGGTTGAGGTAAACAGGAACGTAGGAAGTTACGTTATACTGAGTCAGACCACTGGTCCAGCTCTCTGGGATTTCCAGCAAAGGATCATTTTCTCAGTCCTAACTGGAGATGCTGGGGATCAAACTCGCGACCTTCTGCATGCAAAGCAGGTTCTCTGCCACTTCGCCACAGCCTTTTCAATTGGCTTCAAATGAATGGGTTTCTTCCACTTAGCTCTGATCGACTGGGAGTGTGAGAACAAACAGATCAATGCAACTCTTGGCCCGTAGAAGGACATTGAGATATATATCTTCATTGCTGACAGAGTCATCTATCCTCATCCATTTTTCAAGGAGTTAGGTATGGGAAGAGGACCAGCTTTCTTTCGTCACAACCGTTTTCTGACTTTCGCCCTGACCTACCCTCACAAGGCAGAGTCCCCAGGCAGGGGGGTGGGGAGATTTGACAAGGAACCTGTGTCCCTCCATCTGTTCCTGGATGCAGCAGCCGCCAGTGCCCATTTGGGACTGGTAGGGTGGCAGGCAGGGAGACGAACAGTAGGGGGAGCCAGAGCCAATGGCTGGTAGTGGCGTAGTGCTCCGCCCCCCCCCGAAAAGTTTCCACTCTTTTTTTTTTTTTAAAATTGCTTTTCTCTTACAGTGGTACCTCAGGTTACATACGCTTCAGGTTACAGACTCCACTAACCCAGAAATAGTGCTTCAGGTTAAGAACTTTGCTTCAGGATGAGAACAGAAATCGTGCGGCGGCAGCGGGAGGCCCCATTAGCTAAAGTGGTACTTCGGGTTAAGAACAGTTTCAGGTTAAGAACGGACCTCCGGAACGAATAAAGTACTTAACCCGAGGTGCCACTGTATATCACATCATCAACACATACTACGTCAAGCACAGGATAATAAGAAAGAAATAACATAAATATAAGACATATATAGGTGAATAATAATGATAACATAACTCAGGGAACCAGGCAGAGGGCCTTCTTGGTGGTGGCGCTGACGATTCACCGTGCTAGAGAAGAAACTAAAAATTTTAAATGTTTGGGTTTCTTCTGCAGTTAGATTCACAGAATGTTTAGGGGTATGAGTCCCCCTGCGTCCCCCCAGAAAAAAAAGCACTGTCTATGCCATGGGTAGGGAAACTAAGGCCCGGGGGCCGGATCCTGCCCAATCGCCTTCTAAATCTGGCCCACAGACAGTCTGGGAATCAGCATGTTTTTACATGAGTAGAATGTGTCCTTTTATTTAAAATGCATCTCTGGGTTATTTGTGGGGCATAGGAATTCGTTCATCCCCCCCTCAAATATAGTCCAGCCCACCACATGGTCTGAGGGACAGTGGACCGGCCCCCTGCCGGAAAAGTTTGCTGACCCCTTTATGCACTCATAAACTGATGAGGAGGGAGAAACGAGAGAACCCAAAAACCAACCGTCTAACCATCTATCGCTCTGCATTGTCCTTTGTGTTTAAAAGTCCCACCAGCTTCCCATCTTCTTCTTGACCTTGAGGAAGTTCTGCTTCTGGTCTCTTTCTCCTCCAGGCTACAGCGTGGGCGCGATCGACACGGCACGCGGCACTTTGGTCGTGGCGGGGGCCCCTCGACACAGCATCAAGGGGAAAGTGATGGTGTTTGAAGGAGACCGTTTAAAGCAGATCCTCCACGGGGAACAGGTATATCATTGCTGGATCTTCCACAGCGCCTGCCTTGGATCCTCCTCGTCTTCTCATTTTCTCTTAGGCATTTCCTGGATCAGTGCCCTTCTGGATGCCAGGCTGGTTTCGCTGGACCACTTAAGAAATCGTTTAGCTGTTGTTCTACAAACCAACGAACATACATGATTTCATTTTAATAATGGCAGCCTGGTCTCTAGCTCAGGGTTGGGGACTTCAGGACCCTGTGGGCTCTCCCCAGACCATTCTTCCTCCTTAGCCACATCCTCTCTGCCCCCCCCCCCCGAGACCAGGCTGAGGAGTACAACTCTGATGAGAAATGGTGGGATCCTACCCCTTCCCCTGCTCATGGCCAGAATCCCGAAACTCCACAGTAGTTGATTTGGAACAACGGTTTGCCGAGGGTCACAGTTTGGAAGATAATAGCTGGGCAGAACCGGGAGGTGAACAGCAAGGAGAAGAAAGGGAAGAGAGTGAGATAGCAGGCTCTCTCTCACTGGAAGATGTGCAGCTTCTCAGTCCCAAGGCTAAGAGATTAGATAAGGTGGCTTCGCAAAAGGCTCAGTGGTTGAGAAATCAGGTGGCTAGGAGACGGGAGGACGGAAGTGACTAGAGGGAAGTGCACTCCGAGAACGGCCGCTTGTTCTTTTGCTGCATTCATTAAACATTTCTGTTACTGGTAAGAGACTGCTTTCTCTTTATACTGCTTATCTATGGCCAAGGGGGGAGAAAGCTGAGCCCCCAAAGCCTGACCCAGGCCACTCTCCTCACCAAAACCAAAATAAACTGTCACTGGTAGATGCTGGCACAGGCAGACAAGGCAAGGATTCCTGGATTCCTTGTTATATACATGTGCATTTATATCCTTGTATGTTTCTTTGGAATTTGTGTAGCTATTATATTACAAAGTGTCTCTGCTTATATGATTTAGAGTTACACACAGCTGATGAAGCCCCTTCGGGCAAAACGGGAATATCCAGTAATCCTTGTCTTGTCTGCCTGTGCCAACCATCTAACAGTGCCAGTTTCTTTTGTCTACCAGCTTGATAGATTAGATACTTAGAAGATTATTTCATGTCACTCTTCTAAGGAATAGTTCAGACAGAAAAATACAAGAGAAGATGAAGAAATTAGAAATGAATGTATTACGGCACTGACAAAATAGGATTTGTATTTTGTACATACTGGGCTTGGTTGTCAACTGAATAAGCTACATTTTAATATAATATGTCACAATGTTGATTTTGACACTATGAGAAGCTGTATCTAATTTTTGAAGAGTAGTTTCTAGTAAATAACTTTGCAGTTGTTATGATACAGCCTATTAAGTTTACATGTTTATTCGCTCTCCTCACCAGCCCGGCTTCACACCCTCCTTGCATGTGTTTGCCTGTCTGGAAATGTGCCCTTGAGCTCTGCTTGTGCCCCTTCGCTTGCCCAGATAAAGACTAGAAAAGGGGTTCATGACTGTGGATAGAAACTTGTTGTTGTTTTTGTTTAGTCGTTTAGTCGTGTCTGACTCTTCGTGACCCCCTGGACCAGAGCACGCCAGGCACTCCTGTCTTCCACTGCCTCCCGCAGTTTGGTCAAACTCATGCTGGTAGCTTAGAGAACACTGTCCCACCATCTTGTCGTCCCCTTCTCCTTGTGCCCTCCATCTTTCCCAACATCAGGGTCTTTTCCAGGGAGTCATCTCTTCTCATGAGGTGGCCAAAGTATTGGAGCCTCAGCTTCAGGATCTGTCCTTCCAGTGAGCACTCAGGGCTGATTTCCTTCAGAATGGAGAGGTTTGATCTTCTTGCAGTCCATGGGACTCTCAAGAGTCTCCTCCAGCACCAGAATTCAAAAGCATCAATTCTTCGGCGATCGGCCTTCTTTATGGTCCAGCTCTCACTTCCATACATCACTACTGGGAAAACCAAAGCTTTAACTATACGGGCCTTTGTTGGCAAGGATAGAAACTAGCCTACTGTATAGAGATAAGTTGTGCATTAATCGCTCTGTGTCAGGGACTGGGCAGAGAAGGACTGCTGGAGACCGCCTCCCCATCCGGACCCTTCCAGGGAGGAGGAAGAGGAAGACAGTATAGATTTACAACAGGGATTTGAGGGAGGTAGCAGCTCAGAGGCAGATGAGAGGAAAAGCTGGGAAATCATAGGAGAGCCAGAGCAACACCCGGCTGACACATTGTCATTAGAAAGCATCCCAGACCCTCCATCTCCCAGAACCTGGCGGGCCTTGAAAGTAGGAGAGCAAAGAGCTCAAAGGCAGAGGGCACATAGAGGAGATGATGGTGATGACGAATGAAGAAGTGGGAGAGCAGGGGGTGGGGATTCTCTCGGGACAGCGCCATTATCCAAGAGACTGGGTTCTATAGCCTCTCACTGTAAAGTTTGAATCAAAAAAGGACTGTAAGAAACTTTTCATTGTCTTTATGCTTTCCTGGGTAACCAGCCAGGAGCTGCTGACATCATCCTGACTCTCTGTCTGCTTCTGGCCTTGCCCACCATTGGTTTGTGGCCCTTGTAGAGTTGCCCACCTTTGTTTCTACTAGTCATGTTGTGAGGGAAAAATTAGTAGACGGCGGCGGCGGCGGCAGCAGCATATTAGGAAAATCAATTAAGCCATTTCTGTCCTTACATCGAACACTGTGGAGCGCTCTCCCCAGGGAGGCTTGTCTGGTGCCTTCATTACCTATCTTTAGGCACCCAGGAAACATGTTTCTCTTTAATTCTTTAACATTTGGCTGACTAACATTCTATGTCTTTAAAAATGTGTTTGTGAGAAGGGAGTTTTTGGGTTGGTTTTGGCTTTTTTCTTGTTTTTATTACGTATTTTGTGTTCTCGTTTTGAATTTTCATGTTGTGAACTGCCCTGTGACCTTCGGATGAAGGGCGGTACACAAATTTAATAAATAAAATTGTGGCTGTTTAAATCTTGAATTCTCTGATTATAAAAGCAAATTGCTTTCAGCCCTCGAGAGCAAAACTTAAATCAAGCATATCCATATTCTTTGTATATATCTATATCAGACAGACAGACAGACAGATAGATAGATAGATAGATAGATATAGAAAGTGGATGCCTTTTTGTGGTCAGCGTTTGGAAGCGTTCGGCATAGAAATCCCATCAGTGTTTGTTCTCTTGGACTGCAGGTTGGGTCCTATTTTGGCTCCGAGCTCTGCCTGTTGGACATCGACCTGGATGGGGTTACAGATCACCTGCTTGTTGGAGCTCCATTTTTCCATATGCAAGGGGAGGAAGGAAAGGTTTACCTTTATCGCTTGGATAGCCAGGTAAAACATCCTACTGTTCACATTTTACACCTGTGCTAAAAAGATTGCACAGGCTGCCTGTTTACTACTAATCAGTTTAATACAGAAGAGTGTCTTCAGCAGACAGAATTCTACACAATTCTTAGGAGCTGCCGCAGGCCCTTTCCCATTGCTCCGAAATCCGAGGGCAGTGGAACAACCAAGAGAGTCCTTCCAAATGCATTTATTATTTATTTTTATTTCACAAAATGTGTACAGTATTCTGCTTGATTGTAAGCGGAAACTCTAAGCAGTTTACCAAAGGGGGGGAAAGGGTTGCCAGCAAAAGACAAAGTTAAAATGAGTATTTTTTAAAAAATAAAAATACAAATATAGTTAAAATCAGTGGTTAGGCTTGGGGGGGGGGGGGACTAATTAAAACACCTATCAACTTTGACATGTTTTGGATAGCTTTCCCTGAACAAAAAATGTTCCAGTTTGCCATGAGGGGAGAAGGAAGAGGGCGCTGCGATCGCAGCAACCCGGCTGCTGCTTTTGGGATTTATGGGGTAGCTCGAAGGTCCTGGGGGTGACCAGGAAGCCAAGGGGTCCGGCAGCAATGAAAGCAAGTTCCCAACAGGCCCATCCAGTTTCCAATGGAAAGTGAGCGAGGTCCCTTGCGAAGAGGTTTGGCAACTTAGAATATGCAGAACTTGCAGGTTCAACCCTCGGAATAAGAGAGCAAGAAGAAAGTATTTTTAAAGAAGAGTGGAAAATATTTATTGAATTGTACACAATAATTGTACACAGCTGAAAACGCTGGCAGCGTTAAGATCAATTCAACAGAGTAAACAATATTTGATTGATGTAAAAGTGGAAAATTGATTTGAATGGTTCTAGTAAAATAGGCAGGAAAGTATGATATGAACCATGGAAGGAGAAGAAGGGAAGCCGTTGGATATTTCAAAGTTTGTAAAAAATTTTGATTTGAAATGTAGAAAAATGAAAACTCAATAAAAAATTTATATATCCAAAAAGAGTACAGTGAAGGCATCTGCCATGCTAAAAGATTGATTTCTTACAAGAGCAGAATTAGGATCACGTGGCACTTGTAACAGTACCAGTTCTACAGATTTCAGTGATGGGGTAAGGGGATACCTCAAGTAAACTGGTCCCAAGCTGTTAAAGGCTTGAGTTCACTTGAAGGAACCTCCTTACACACAATTCAGGTAAATTCAGTTGAAGGAACCTCCACCAACAGGTGGAAGCAGCAGACAAAAAGCACTTTCATGTAACTTTCCCCTTTCCCCCTCTCTCCTGCTTTCTCCCAGGCCAACAATTTTACTCTACAGAGACATTTACAGGGCCAGCTGGGGTCCCTTTTCTCCAGGTTTGGATTTGCCATGGCTAGCATTGGTGACGTGGACCAGGACGGTTTTGGAGATGTTGCCATCGGCGCACCCCTCAAGGACCATGGGTCAAGCCCCAACTCTTTTGGCAGTGTTTACATCTTTAATGGCGGCAAGGAGGGTTTGCGGGATCCCTTCTCCCAGGTAAGGGGGCCTTGTGGAATTGTATTTCGGAGAAAGAAAGAGGGAGACACTGCTTCCAGACGGCTTGTTTATTGAGCATCCCTCCTGATTTGTTTACAAGGAGATTAGACCATGTTGGCCATTTATTGAGCCTTCCCTCTGCTTAGTTTGCAGGGCATCAAAACAACATAGGAAGCTGCCTTATGCTGAGTTATGGTCTGTGAGCTGCATGGCCAGGGAAAAAACAATGCTATCCAGGGTTGTAAAGACTGCAGAGAGAATAATTGGGCGCACTCTTCCCACCTTAGATCAAATCTACAGTGGTGCCCCGCAAGACGAATGCCTCGCAAGACGGAAAACCCGCTAGACGAAAGGGTTTTCCGTTTTTGAGTTGCTTCGCAGGACGAATTTCCCTATGGGCTTGCTTCGCAAGACGAAAATGTCTTGCGAGTCTTGAGATTTTTTTCCCGCTTCCCCCCCCTTTTTCTAAGCCGCTAAGCCGCTAAGCCGCTAATAGCCTTTTAGCAGCTAAGCCGCTAAGCCTTTAATAGCCGCTAAACCGCTAATAGCGCTAAGCCGCTAAGCCGCTAATAGGGTTGCTTCGCAAGACGAAAAAACCGCTAGATGAAGACACTCGCGGAACGGATTAATTTCGTCTTGCGAGGCACCACTGTATGCTGCCAGGTGCCATAAGAAAGCAGCGGAGATAGCACAGGATAGTACGCACCCTGGAAATGATCTCTTTCAGCTTCTGCCTTCTGGAAGAAGGTATAGGGTTATAAAGGCCAGGACTAGCCACCTGAAAAACAGTTTCTATGCAAATGCAATTCTGGTTCTAAACGCAGCATAAGGGGTTTCTACAGTATAGTGTATTTTAAAATAGGGTTTTAGAGTTTTTAAGGGTTTTTGAATGTTTTATGTAGTTTTGTAGTAGTTTTATGTAGTTTTGCAATTTCATTGTCCTGCATGGGACAATGACAATAAAGATATATTGTATATCGTATGCTGAGTTAGACAGTAGCTCCACCTTCCTCAGTCCTATCTGCACCAGAGCTTTCCAAACTGTGTGTCGCGACACGTTAGTGTGTCGGTTGCAGTGTGCAGGTGTGTTGCACAAATGCTCCCCACACTCTTCCCGGGGCTGGAAAGGGGCTAGTTCATGGGTAGGCAAACTAAGGCCCGGGGGCTGGATCCGGCCCAATCGCCTTCTCAATCCGGCCTGCGGACGGTCTGGGAATCAACATGTTTTTACATGAGTAGAATGTGCCTTTTTACTGAAAATGCATCTCTGGGTTATTTGTGGGGCATAGGAATTTGTTCATTTTTTTTTCTTTCCAAAATACAGTGGTACCTCGTGTTAAGTACTTAATTCGTTCCGGAGGTCTGTACTTGACCTGAAACTGTTCTTAACCGGAAGCACCACTTTAGCTAATGGGGCCTCCTGCTGCTGCTGTGCCGGCGTTTCCGTGTGCTGCGCTGGTGCTGGCTCGCCACAGCAGTTTCGTCACGCTGGCCACGTGACCCGGAAGTGTCTGCGGACAGCGCTGGCCCCCGGCCTCTTAAGTGAGATGGGTGCACAACCCTAGAGTCGGACACGACTGGCCCCTACAGGCAGGGGTACCTTTACCTTTACCTTTAAGGATATAATTGCAATAATTAAATAATGGAAGAGGGTTTCCCTTGCATGGGACAGTTAAAAGGTGCGCTGTGAGGGACTAGCCAGCGTGCCATGAGAAATAAAAGGAGTCTTCATAATCATTTAAAGCCCCTCGCAAGGCGAGCACAACATAACCACCTGCAGAGGAGGCTCCCTGGTCTGACTCTGTGTGAGTCAGCTGCTCTGGGCGTCCCCCTTTCCAATTATGGAGAAACAAAAGGGTAGAGGGATATCTCTAGATAGCCAGTCTAGAAGCTTTTAAGACCCAAAACATACCATACATTTAAAACAGGCATAATCATGCCACTTTAAACAGCCAGAGCTTCCCCCCCAAGGATTCTGGGAACTGTAGTTTGTTAAGGTGCTGAAAATGGTTTGGAGACACACACACACATGACATCTCATTCCCCACACAAAGATAAAATATGCAGAGTGGTTTAACAAGGCTCTCTTGCAATTATAACTCTGTGAGGGGGCACAGAGGCATCCTAATAACTCTCTCAGCACCCATAATGCTTTGGGGAAAGCCGAAACTTTAAAAAGTGGCATTGAAGTGTTTTAAATTAGCAAGCCTCAAAGCTTGACCTTCAGCCCAGCAACTTTTCAGACAACACAGGCGCTGGTACTCACGAGCTTATCTCTCATTAGTGGGAAAGAAGCTACTTTCTCAAAGGCCAGTTTTGTTACCCAGAGACCTGAGTCAGGGAACTGTTTTCTTTGAACAAGAAAACCATTTTCTCGACTGCTTCACTCATGTGATAAGTCAGCTTCCTATGTTGCTGTTCAAAACAGCCCTTTGTTCAGAGCCACGAGGATAGGAATTTTGATTTACAGTGGTACCTCGGGTTAAGAACTTAATTCGTTCTGGAGGTCTGTACTTAACCTGAAACTGTTCTTAACCTGATATATTTTTTTTTATGATATATATATCATATATTTTTTTCCAAAATACAGTGGTACCTCGGGTTAAGTACTTAATTCGTTCCGGAGGTCTGTACTTAACCTGAAACTGTTCTTAACCTAAAGCACCACTTTAGCTAATGGGGCCTCCTGCTGCTGCCGCGCCACGGAGAAATTGTGCCGGAGCACAATTTCTGTTCTCATCCTGAAGCAAAGTTCTTAACCTGAAGCAATATTTCTGGGTTAGCGGAGTCTGTAACCTGAAGCATATGTAACCTGAGGTACCACTGTATAGTCCAGCCCACCACATGGTCTGAGGGACGGTGGACCGGCCCCCTGCTGAAAAAGTTTGCTGACCACTGGCCCTAGTTTAACCTCCGGTTTGCTCACAAAACTGGATTGCTGTGTCGCACAAAATGATGCATGTCTACAAAGTGTGTCACCAACATGAAACGTTTGGAAAGCTCTGGTCTACACTGACTGGCAGTGGCTCTCCAGGGTAGTGGTTCAGGCAGGGGGCATTCCCAAGCCTACCTGGGGATGCTGGAGATTGAGCTTGGGGTCTTCTCTGCCTGCAAAAAAACCGCTCTGCCCTTGAGGTATATGACCCTTCCCCTAATAATACAATGGTACCTCAGGTTACAGATGCTTCAGGTTACAGACGCTTCAGGTTACAGACTCCGCTAACCCAGAAATAGTGCTTCAGGTTAAGAAATTTGCTTCAGGATGAGAACAGAAATCATGCTCCGGCAGCGCAGCGGTAGCAGGAGGCCCCATTAGCTAAAGTGGTACCTCAGGTTAAGAACGGACGGTTTCAGGTTAAGAACGGACCTCCAGAATGAATTAAGTACTTAACCTGAGGTACCACTGTAGTCTATTAAACATTAAAAGCTTACCTAAAGCTTCCCTAAAAGCTGTTGAGCTTTTTTCAGTTTTGCCCAAAGTTCCCTATTTTAAAGGCAAATCGCAAAAAAAGACAGTTGACATGGTTGACATATGTCCAGATTTCCCTGGATGTTTCAGTGATTTCTGCCCAGACACTGTTTCCTGTAGTTTATTGCTGGCAACCCTGCTCTAACCCCATTATACCTGCACAGCAATCTTGTAAGATGGGTTAATCCGAGAGACCAAGTATGCTTCACGACTAGGGATTTGAAGGCTGGTCTCTGGGACCCTAGTTCAGCACACTAAACACTGCCCCCGCTGTACCCCATTTTTCTATTTCCCTCTTCTGATTCCAGAGGATAACAGCTGCTCAAACCGGTCCGCCTGGACTCATGTATTTTGGAAGGTCCGTGGCTGGTGGATTGGACTTCACTGCGGACGGTCTCCCCGATATTATTGTTGGATCATTAGGTTCTGTTACTTTGCTCCGGTAGGTCGTAATGATCTTTGGGTTTTCTCCTGGGGAAAAGAGAGACTAAAAACCCCTCTGGTCTGCAGTCTTCTTGAGCTGAGTTTTTCTGTAGACAAAAAACATTTTTCAGCTGTCGGGGAAAAACATGTCTAGCATCAGCATGCCAAATAAATTCAGAACTCACCCCCTTTTCCATGCAGTCATGAGGGTAGGCTTGGGCTGGCAATTTGGGGTCCGTGTTGCAGGTGTTGGTGTGCATGACTGGATGTTACAGAGCTGATCAAATCAGCAGCTTCTAGGCTAGGGATGGAGAATTTCAGCCTTCCCACCCTCCCAGACCAGGAGTGGGAATGTTTTTCAGCCCAATAACCTCCTTCCCTTCTGATCAACTTTTGGGGCAGGGTGGGGGGTGGGCAGATGTACAAGTGGGCAGAGCAACGGGTTAAAAATTAATCTTTGCACAGTAGGGCTGGGCGATTTATCGATATATCGCTCAAAGCCGGTTCAAAGTCCATATTGCGATATCAGTTTCATAGTTTTTGACCTGGCAATATGTTGCAAATCAGGATGTGTGTTAGGGCTGGACGATGTATCATCTAAAAAATAAAAAAAAGGTAAAGGACCCCTGACAGTTAAGTCCAGTCGTGGCCGACTCTGGGGTTGTGGCGCTCATCTCGCTTTATTGGCCGAGGGAGCCGGCATACAGCTTCCGGGTCATGTGGCCAGCATGACTAAGCCACTTCTGGCGAACCAGAGCAGCGCACGGAAACGCCGTTTACCTTCCCGCCAGAGCGGTACCTATATATCTACTTGCGCTTTGACGTGCTTTCAAACTGGTAGGTTGGCAGGAGCTGGGACCGAGCAAAGGGAACTCAACCCATTGCAGGGATTTGAACCGCTGACCTTTTGATCAGCAAGTCCTAGGCTCTGTGGTTTACACCACAGCGCCACCCGCTTCCCTCCAATTTCAAATCCATATCATGATATTGGTTTCATCATTTTTGACCTGGCAAATCTATTGCGAATCAGGATGTCTGTGTGCTTTGCAAAAATCACAATGTGGGGACGGATGGACGGACCTTGAAGCCAGCCAGTGCCTCTACATAGCTCCACCCTTATTACAGGTATCGTGATATATCAGTATATCGCGATGTCTAGCTAGTGATTTATTCCGATGTTGAAAACCAGAAATCGCCCAGTCCTATTGTATAGGAGGCTGCTTTGTACACGAACACCCCTCTCTACTCTCCATCCAGCAAGCAAGAGACATTATCAAAGTTCAAAGACATATTTCCAGCTGGGCAAAGCCACTTAAGGAGGATGTGAAGCAGAGCCAGTGAGGGATGAAACCTAGGGATAGTTTCAAGGGCCAGGTAGAGAGGCCTGGGGGGCCACATTTGGCCCAAGAGGTTCCCCACTCCCCTAAACTGTGCCCCTTTCACTTCCCCATCTCACTGCCCAAATACCAACCATATTCTGCTCCATAATCACCCAGGCGGCTGCTGATTTGTAGAGCTCTGCTGAGGCAGCCAAGAAAGTAGCCGTCCTTGAAATATTATATGCTTCCATTTGCATTTGGGGTTTGATTTTAAAGCCGAGCCTATCTTTCTTTCCCTCTTCTTCCATTTAGCTCCAGGCCAATTCTTCGACTGGAACCCACCATGCACTTTACCCCGGGGAGAATAGTCCATTTCGACGGCGTCGTTACGGCCAGATTGTGCTTCAATAGGGTTTCCCCTCCTGGGACCGTGCGGTCAGGTAATGAACACCCACATGGCAAGCATTTTAGCAGCGCTTAACTTTAGCCCAACAGGGACGCAGCAGCAGCTGTGCCGTACAGTTGGCACTTAATTTTCCTCTAGCGGCAAACAAAAAGGAAGTTATATTTCTGCTGCCGTGGAGTACTCTAACAGCTCTGCAAAGCTACAGTTGGAGGTCAAGCAAAGGCGCAGTCCGCTCTCATTTTCCATTCAGACTTTGTATTTTGGATGAATCTGCCATGTCGATTTCTCTCTGCTTCTCACACACCAATTCTTAAACTCTGTTCACATTTCTGTTGGAGGTTGCAGATTATTGATTCAGTGCCCTTTTAAAATATATGTGGGTGTTTTTTTTTGGGGGGGGGTGTTACAGTGGCGCCTTGGTTCTCAAAAACCCAGAAGTAAGTGTTCCGTTTCTGAACGTTTTTCGGAAGCCGCATGTCCGATGCGGTTGTCGGCTGTTGTTTCCGGGGCACCTGCACCAATCAGAAGCTGCGCCTTGGTTTTCAAACATTTCGGAAGTCAAACAAACTTCCAGAACGGATTAAGTTTGAGAACCAAAGGATATATACACAAATAAAGCTGTACTCGATGGATGAAAGGATATGTGATATCTGACATGATTGAGAATTGTAGAGCCAGAGATGGAGAACTTTAAAGCGTTAAAATCGAGATGTGGAAAATATGGAAACAATGAGAGGCAGGATTGAGATTTGGAGATATGCTTCAAGGTCCAGACTATGAGAAGTTCCAAAAATTAATAATTATGATTTGGATGATAATTTGGTCGTTTTTTATTTTAGTTTTTTATTTTAATTGATTGTAATTTGATATGTTAATTGGATGTTTTTTTATTGGAAAATTAATAGAAACGATTTAACATAAGTTTGAGAACCAAGGTACCACTGCATTGGGTTGTTCTTGTTTTTATTTTGATTATGTATTTTGCGTTTTTATGTTGTGATTTTATCCTGTGAAACACCCTGAGACCTGCAGGTACAGGGCAGTATAACAACAACAATAATAATAATAATAATTTTTTAATCCCTGGACTTTTTTCACCATCCTCCCCGCTGCCAAGCGTTTCTTTCTTTCTCCTAGGGCTGCCCCACCTCCTTCTTCGCTACACTGTGGATTTAGATGTTGAGATGGGAAAGAAGAGGATGCAGTTTGAGGACCAAACATTCTCCAGCAGCAGCGACACCTCCTACACTGGGGATTCTTGTCCCGAACTGCAGCTCCACATCCTGGTGAGTGGAACAAGAAAGCGAGTTCTACGCTGTGGGTGCCCACCCAAGCAGCAGCTAAAATTGGGGGGGGGGGGGAGGGACACTGTGGTGGAAATCCCCTAAGTCATAAATGTTGGCCTGAGAGCACCATCTTTGCTGCAAAGTCAACGTGCATCGAGGATAGATCTGTCACTAGCTGAACAAAACCCCTCCATGTCTAGAAGCAATCTACCTGTTAGTATCAAATGTTGGGGACAATCAGCAGGGAAGGGCTACCTGTATTTGAGCTTCCCAGTGCTATCTGCCTGGAGAATGTTCCGTGGGGTCTGATCTGTAGTTCAGGTTAGCAGAAGCGCTGTAGGCAGGTTCATTTTTAAAAAAATGATTTTTATTAACTTTCAATTTAACAATATATAATCACATCATTATTTTTCACTTTCTGGCTCCCTAGAGCCTATTGACTTCCTTCCCTCCCGTCTCTTGGCTTTTAAAATTAACCTTTATGTCCAGCATTTTATACTTTTTTCAAATCTGATTAATTTCATAACAAAATACCTCAAAATTTAAATAAGTATAAAAAGGGAGAAAAAAGGGATAAATAAGTATAAAAAGGGAGCTTACAATGTTTTTCCAAATATCATATAAATTTACTCCAGTCCTTTTGGAATACTTGATCTTGCTGGTTTCAGATTTTCCCCGTCAGTTTTTCCAATTCTGCAAAGTCCATCATCTTAATCTGCCACTCTTCTATCATTGGTACTTCTTGTTGTTTCCATTTTTGGGATGAAAGAGTTCTTGCTGCTGTTGTCGCATACATAAACAATCTTTTATCTTCTCTTGGTATCTCTTCACCTACTATACCCAATAAAAAGGCTTCTGGTTTTTTAACAAAGGTGTTTTTAAACAATTTTTTAAACTCATTATATATTATTTCCCAGAATGCCTTTGCTTCTTTACAAGTCCACCACATATGGTAAAAGATACCTTCCTTTTCTTTACATTTCCAACATTCATTAGTTCTTGTCCTATAGATTTTGGCAAGTTTTGATGTTGTTAGATACCTTCTATACATCATTTTCATGACATTTTCTTTAAGTGCACTGCATGCAGAGAAATCTCAATTCAGAACCATGTGGACTGGCACCTTGTTTTTAGTTTTAAACAAAGAGCTGTATATTGTGTGCTCTGTTGGAATGAGGGGGGAAAGTTAATTCATTTGATGTTCAAAGGTAAACCTGCCTAATTTGCAGATTCCAAAACAATATTTGGACTGCAATAAAGACATCCTTTAAAAACCACACTTCTCGAAATCTGGCAATGCACTTTTCCGGATAAGTATCGTTTACAAAAATGCATGCACTAGGGTAAAGTGTGCCTAACGGGCATGTATTAGTGAAAACAACATATGGAAATTGGGGGGGGGTGGAGGGAGGGAATGCAAAATTGTGTAGAGTTGTGTGCAAAATTGCATACAAAAATGGGTGGGTTAAGAGAAATTCGCACTATAAAATGCTGAAGAATTTGGAAATTGCAAAGTGAGAGAAACCAAAAACCGATGCTTTGATGATTAAAAAGAGCTGTGTCAGGACCAGAGCAGGAATAAAACTAGAAAGCTGTGTTCAGCTGGGTCGGACTATTTGATCATAGGAACAAAGGAAGTGTCCACTCGTGTCTCATGCTAGTCAAGCAAAAATACAGATTAAAGGCACATTTCCATCCAGGAAAATGCACTCAGTGAGGATGTCAAGGTAGGCTCGTGAGAGGTGTGGTCTGAGGAGAGAGGGTGTGGTTTTGGGGAGAGTCCCGGGGGCCGGATGGAGAGATCTGGAGGACGGCATTCAGCCCTTGGGCCTGAGGTTCCCCACCCTTGCCCGGCTTGCTTGCAAATTCATCTGTCTCTTTTTCAACTACAATATCAGCCCTGCACTGATGACTGTTACTCCGACATTACTCTCCGCCTCACTTACGAGCTTCATGACCCTGACGGAAAAGTCCTGGACCACCCCAAGCCTATGCTTGATATGTATCAGAAACCTGAAGTGGATTTCCAGGTAACAAGAAATAAATAATGGTTTTTTAGGGGTCTTAACTTTGTCTAATCTTTATACTGCAAACTGCCCTGTGAGCTTTGTATGAAGGGCAGTATAATAATGATCATCATCATCTGTTAATTTGTGGCAGAGTGCCCAAGAGTGCTTCTGTGTGGTGTTGAAGCTTAAACTGAGGACTCAGCTACACTGCAAATAAAACATTTTGTAAAGTGTTGTAAAGTGCCTTATACAAATGTGACACTAGATGGCGATGATGAGCTATGGCAAATTCAATATATTTTTCAAAACATTTTTTTAAAAAAACAATTTTCGCAACTTTTTAAAATAGATTCCACCAGAGAAAGGCACCTGGAAAGGTGTGTAATATGGTCCCACTTACAGTTTTCTGGCTGCTGTTTGAGTTGTCTGAGCCCTGGCCAAATATTATGGGAGGAGCTTGCATAGAAACCAAACTGCCGTCAAAAGTGTCCTTCCCAACCAAGAGAACCCAAGTCCAAAGGGGGGACCCGGGAGACACCACTGTCTTCCATATGCAAAATTAAGGAGTTCAAAAAAACCAGATACCAAAACTAGGTATCTGATGCCAGCGTATCTGTCCATTGATATATGAATACTCTGGGCTCCAGCACCAAATGGAATGTAAAACAATTAGTTCACTGGGTTCATGTTATTTTTATTTTTATTTTTGTTTCATAAAATTTATACACTGCTTGATTTAAAAAAACAAACAAACCTCAAAGGGGTTTATGAAAAGATCAAACAATAAAATCGAGAAAAAACAACAGCCATACTTTAAAAGTTAAAATACTAAAACAGATTAAAATTGCCTCAACGTTCTAAGCATCTGGCTAGGCTTGCCAAAACAAAAATGTCACCGTTTCTCAGAGTGGCCTACTTTGCAGGACTGTTGTGAGGCTGTAAATGTGAGATGACATGTGGGGTTGTCAGCCAACCAACTTCTACACAAAGTAGACCTAAGTGAGTTACGGCCATTAATTTCAGTGGGTCTACTCTGAGAAGGACTAACATGGGCCATTGCCATTCTCCTTTTGGGAAGGGTTGAGTTGCTTGGATTCTGGTTGGCTTCAAGTGTTTCCACAGTGATAAAGATGGTAATAATACAATTTTCTTGTCCCTTTGACTCCCGACATCCCTGTCAGCTGCCAGTCATGGAAGACTGTGGTGACAAGTCCGTCTGCACACCTCGCTTGAGCTTAGCTGTTGAAATGGAGTGAGTCTTCTGAATGTGTTTTTATTTTTGTAATGTGCTTTTGGCCATCAGATAGGGGAAGGAAAACCCCATTTTGGGCCACATTTGCACCATCCACTCAAAGCGCTGTATTACCACTAGTCATGGCTTCTTCCCCCAAAGAATTGTGGGAGTCGTAGTTTGTTGAGACTTCTTAGGAGCCCCACATTCCCCCCACAGAGGTACAATTCCCAGAGTGGTTCAGCAGTCAATCCCTCTTCACAGGGAACTCTGGGAATTGTAGCTCTGGGAGGGGAATAGGGGGCTCCTAACAACTCCCTTTGGGACACGGGTGGCTCTGTGGGTTAAACCACAGAGCCTAGGACTTGCCGATCAGAAGGTCAGCAGTTCGAATCCCCGCAACGGGATGAGCTCCTGTTGCTCAGTCCCTGCTCCTGCCAACCTAGCAGTTCGAAAGCACCTCAAAGTGCAAGTAGATAAATAGGTACCACTCCGGCGGGAAGGTAAACGGCGTTTCCGTGCGCTGTTCTGGTTCGCCAGGAGCGGCTTAGTCATGCTGGCCACATGACCCGGAAGCTGTACGCTGGCTCCCTTGGCCAATAAAGCGAGATGAGCGCCGCAACCCCAGAGTCGGCCACGACTGGACCTAATGGTCGGGGTCCTTTTACCTTTACTTTAACAACTTCCTTTACAAACTACAGCTCCCAGAATTCTTTGGGGGGCAAACTATAAGTATTTAAAGTGGTATCAAAGTATTTTTCATAGATGGTGTGAAGTAAAATCCATTCACTGAGCCTATGCTGTCGAGACAGCGCATAAATTTAACCAGAAATGTCCCTTTCCAGACATACTTTTTATTGTGCATTCATGATGATTTGGGCTCATGGTGGTATCATGGTGGTTATCAGCGATCCCACTTTTGCTACCATTTCTGGATATAATAATAATAAATAATAATAATAAATTTTATTTATACCGCGCCCTCCCCGGCCAGAGCCGGGCTCAGGGCAACTAACACCAATAAAATCACAGTAAAAACATAATGGGGGGGGGGGGGGACGGACCAATTTAAAATACAGTTAAAATGCAATTTTTAAAATGCAGCCTCATTTTAAAAGTAACAGATAGATCAAGACCATAAGGGGAGGGAAACATAAGGGTCAGACTGAGTCCAAACCAAAAGCCAGGCGGAACAGCTCTGTCTTGCAGGCCCTGTGGAAAGATGTCAAGTCCCGCAGGGCCCTAGTCTCTTGGGACAGAGCGTTCCACCAAGTCGGGGCCAGTACTGAAAAGGCCCTGGCTCTAGTTGAGACCAATCTAACCGCTTTGTGACCTGGGACCTCCAAAATGTTGTCATTTGTGGACCTTAAGGTCCTCTGCGGGGCATACCAGGAGAGGCGGTCCCATAAGTGGTGATCTGGGCTGTCTGACAAAAGTTTCAGTTTTTAAGATGTCACAAGACCTTGCGCTGTTTTTACAGTGTCCGCGGGTCTTGAAATACTATCTCTTATTTCATTACAGGAAGGAGCTGGTGGTTGGCTCCACCAAGGAACTGGCAATGAAAATCTATCTGTCCAACAGTGGCGACAACTCCCACATGACGTCTCTGGTTGTGCAGTACCCTTCAAACCTCCATTTTAAAAACGTCCAAGAGGTCATGTCTTTCTCTGAACTTTCCCAGGGTTTAACTGGTCTTCTGTACCCCAATCTGGGCAGGTAGGGGGGCTATAGCACAGTGGCAGAACACCTGCTCTGTGTGCCTAAGGCTCCAGCCTCTCTACATAGGGCTGGGATGATGACTCCGTGCTGGGAAGCCTGAAGAGCCACTGCCAGTCAGTGCAGACAGTACTGAGCTATATGACCAAGGGTCTCACACGGGGAAAAGGTATATTCAGAATCACGAGGACAGGAATCTCACTTTATTTTGCGCCCAGAAAGTCCCAGGCTCAGTTCCCAGTATCTCCAGATATGAAACATAGATGGACAAATAGACTATTTCTATTGAATTCAGAACCATGATGACTGGAATCTTGTTTTTTTTTTAGGGGAAGAGGAGCCACAGCTCAGTGGTATAGCATTTATTTCGCACGCAAAAGATCTCAATTCTAACCTCTGGCATTTTCAGTTAAACTTATGGGAAAGGCCCTTTCTCTGCCAGACCCCCTAGAAAGCTGCTACTGGTCAGAACAGATAGCTGAAGGGTCTGACGTGGTATAAGGCACTGTCTCACGTCCCTAGCTATTTCCTCAGGTACATGCTGTATCAAAAGGGGTTTCTGGGACATTCTGGATTGAAGGAAGATTCCTGTTCTGCCCCTTCCCCCATGTCTCAACAGATTTCCTCTTCTGTCATCCACTGTGATGCACCTCAGCCAGTCTCAGTTTTATTCTCATCTCTGCGCTGCAAGGTTGGCCATCCGATCTTCAAGAAATCTACCGTAAGTTCAATTTGTGCAGGCATTCAGCTACTCCCTAGACTTCTGCCTGTTGCCTTTGACACCCACCTCTGCCAGCCATTGGCTGAGCTGCTGCATGACATCATGGAATGTTTGCCGAACATTCCAGCCGCTCACGAGAATATTGATATACGCAGCACCCGCAGTGCTTTCTCAGAATGCCAGATGTGCCAGTAGGTTTGGCAACCAATGTGAGAGTCAAACCAAACAGCTGTTTCAAAGGCTGCCCATCAAAGCTTAAACATGGAAGGACGAGTGCAGGATTTGATTATTTTGCTTAAATACTCATTATCTAGTTACAGGGTAAAGGTAAAGGGACCCCTGACCATTAGGTCCAGTCGTGGCCAACTCTGGGGTTGCGGCGCTCATCTCGCTTTATTGGCCGAGGGAGTCGGCGTACAGCTTCCAGGTCATATGGCCAGCATGACTAAGCCGCTTCTGGCAAACCAGAGCAGCGCACGGAAACGCCGTTTACCTTCCTGCCAGAGCGGTACCTATTTATCTACTTGCACTTTGATATGCTTTTGAACTGCTAGGTTGGCAGGAGCAGGGACCGAGCAACGGGAGCTCACCCTGTCACGGGGATTCGAACCTCCGACCTTCTGATCAGCAAGCCCTAGGCTCTGTGGTTTAACCCACAGCGCCACCCGCGTCCCTAGTTACAGGATAAATTGACATAAATCTGATATCAGGAATCACAAGACAGAGAAACCTGTAGGAGAACACTTTCAATCTCCCAGAACATTCTATACAAGATCTCAAAGTAGCTGTCTTATTACAAAAGAATTTCAGAAATAGACTGGAAAGAGAAGTGGCTGAATTGCTACTTATTACCAAACTTAAAACCATGGAGAGACCTGGTCTGAACAGAGACACTGGATTCTTATCTCATTATACATAAGCTGTTTTTAGCCATCTCACCCCTTGCTTTTTCCTGTAAGACCAATTGCAGTCGTCAACAGGTTTACCACACCTATCAGCCAATCACCCATTCCCACCACCCTTCTGAGTAATACCCCTCCCCACCCTCTCACTATACATAAGGGTCTGGTGACTTCTGTTTCAGTGTATCTGAAGAAGTGTGCATGCACACGAAAGCTCATACCAAACTTAGTTGGTCTCATAACAAACTAAGTTGGTCTCTAAGGTGCTACTGGAAGGAATTTTTTTACTCATTATGTAATTCTTGCTCTCTCTCTTCTTTCATTTGCTGCACAGGCAAATTTTTCAGTGACCTGGCAACTAGATGGGAAAAAATTCCCCACAGAATCTGCTAACTTCATGCTTAACGTTACCAAGTAAGTGGTCAGTCTCTGCTGAAAACTATTGACTCGGACAGGGCAAATGATCATGTTTGGCACATTACTTTTTTATGCCTGGTGTTTTATTAACGTGCATTGCCAAAGTAGATTGGGGTGGGTGGGTGAGCTGGAATCTCCAGAGGCCACTAACTAGGTTGGAGAAGGCTGTTTTAGAGTCATCGGGTACTACAGAAAGCTAACAGTCATGTTCTGGGGAAAGAGGTGGGATATAAATGAATAATACAACTCATCTATTTGATTTTCACAGTGCCAACAAAAACAGCACAGCCCTGAGAGAAGACCGTTCCCTGGGTGTGAAATATGCCATGAACGCCATCCTCACTAGGTCAAGTCTTCAGGATTAGCCAAAACTAGAATGTCTCTTTGGACACAAACAAATGAGCAAGACTTGGGCTATGCTTAATTTTTTAAAGCTATTTTTGATTTTGATCCTCTTTTGAATGCTATGGTCTAAACCACTGAGCCTCTTGGGCTTGCTGATCGGAAGGTCGGCGGTTTGAATCCCCGCGACGGGGTGAGCTCCCGTTGCTCTGCCCCAGCTCCTGCCAGTCTAGCAGTTTGAAAACACACCAGTGCAAGTAGATAAATAGGTACCGCTGCGGCGGGAAGGTAAACGGCGTTTCCGTGCGCTCTGGCACTCATCACAGTCCTTCGTGCACCAGTAGCGGTTTAGTCATGCTGGCCACATGACCCGGAAAACTGTCTGTGGACAAACGCTGGCTCCCTAGGCCTGAAAGCTAGAGGAGTGCTGCAACCCCATAGCCGCCTTTGACTGGACTTAAACGTCCAGGGGTCCTTTACCTTAAACCCGTTTTCAGTTGATAATTTTAAGGTTTTATTTTCTGCTTTTCCAAATGTTAGAGGGTTAAATAAAATAAAAAGTAGTAAAAATAACTCCCAGCAGCCTGGCCAGTGACAAGTCAGGAGTCGAACATCTGGAGGTTACCACCATAAACACTTAGTATCCTAGAAAAGCCTCTGGTGTGTCTGTGGGCAGATCCGAATAGATCCGCGAAGACCAAGGTGGCATTAATGCATGGAAGTGTGTGTGCATCACCCAAGTTCCCTCTGCTCCTTGTGCACTGCTGATGCTTTATTTTGCAATGATCAAACAGCTGTCCAATTAATTTATTTTAAAAATGTTTGTCCACAGGCAGCTTCCAAATGTGTATGCGAGTCTGGATGAAAGATCCTCCCACAGCACCCAATTCACCTTTAATGTAGGTACAAAGCCGCTGTACTCTTCCTCTCATCCCAAAGGTTCACTGTTACCTGATGTCGGTGTTTTATATTTAAAAATATAAAAATCTTTGCAGATCACAGGGAACCAATTTGGGGCACAGCTTGAGTTGCGGATCTGGGTCCCTCTCAACATAGACAACCGCCAGATTGCAAGCATAAAGAACGCGGCAGGGGTGCAGGTAAGTTTTCTGGTTTCCTCCCACTTTTTTAAAAAATAAACAAGCACGTGTGAGTATAGCTATAAAGATATGGAGCTGCTGGGATGATAGCGCAGTGCCAGCATCTGCCCCACTGCCTCTTAAGGGGGCATTCCCCAACCACTGGTGGCTGGTTGCTCATTCGGGCTGCTAAGACAGAGAAGGCAGGGAGCCCAAACAGGGAGTGGAGTCAGAGCCAGCAAAAGCCAACTAATTCTAGCCCATTCTAGAATCACCATATTTTTTGCTCCATAAGACACACCTAGTTTTTAGAGGAGAAAAGCAAGGAAAAATATATTCTGAACGAAACAGTGGGTGTATGGTTTTTGTGGTTCATGCAGTGGCCACAGTCATGTGATTTGACGGTGAGTTTGGGGTAGCCCAATGCAAAAATCCTGAGGATCCATGTGCTTTTACCTCCCCGTTCCCAGGCAGTCTCCTTTATCTCTAACGTCCCTTATCTCTCTCCCCTATCAGCGGCTTTGTTTCAACACCCACTTCCATCTTTCAAAAAAAGAAGAAGAAGAAAAGCATGATCTGCTTTTTGCCCCTGGGCAATTCAGCTCCAGGGACCACACATTCACTCCACAAGACGCACAGACATTTCCCCTTACATTTTAGGAAGAAAAACGTGCGTCTCATGGAGCGAAAAATACGGTAAGTTGCCAGCTTCCATGCCAAGGAAGCTGGCAACCTGGACTTGGTTGTAAGGCAGGCTGAGGTTGGGGGAGCAGTTTGTGATTCCCCCAATGGACCATCCTGCACATCTGTAGCTCACCACCACCCTTCAGCCCAACAGGTGGGGGGGGGGACCTCTCTGGCCCTCCAGATGTTGCTGAACTACAACATCAGTCCAACTAGCATGACTATTGGCTAAGGGCGATCGGACTTGTAGAACAGCACCTTTTCTGTAGCCTGGGGATAAAGTAAAACCTGGCTAGACTGACGTGGTTCATTTATGTGACCTCTGGGTTTACTAGGCTGGGGCGGGGCAGGTAGAGAGGAGAGCCAATGAACCTCAAGGGTCCTACTAAAGAGACATGGGTGTGGTACAATTTATAGTAGACAAACTGTATAGTTCCAACCATTACAAAAATACAGTCATAAAAAATATACGTACATACATACAAGTTGGACGCCATATAAATCTTTACCAATATAAAACAGTGCTCTTAACAGGTTTAATACTGTGAAAGTTAAACTAGCTACAGTCTGCGTGTTTTTTTTTAAAGGAACTATAACATTGAAGGATAAAATCCTGCAAGATTTTTTTAAAAAAAAGATTTAGAATAAAGGCTTTAATTAAAGATGCATGGACCTAAATTCTGAATTAAATGTTTTTGAACTGAAAGCAATTTGGTGGAGAGGAGGTGTAAATTAGGCTGAAATCTATTAGACAAAACACAAACCAATTATTTTGAAGATCCATTGCAATTGACCAAAGGTGAAACTAAAAGTTGAGAGAAAAAACGCCTTATCTTTTATTATATACATAAATCATAAGAAATACCTGCGTGCTTACAATAGCACCCGAAAGTTTCACCATTCGACAACCACAAGGCTCGGTTTAATCACTGAAAGAAATTGCTTGTGTTCAGCAAATCTGTGGCAGACTTGAAGCTGAGAACCTCCTCACAGAACAGCTTGAGCTGCTTGTGTGCTTGTTTCAAGGAGGAAGTTGTTGGCTTCCTCTTGTAAGACACCTCTTTCAGAAGTTTGTCTGCTAAATAGTGAAGCCACAAGACGTTGCTGTGGGGGAAGTAGTCAGCCCAGCGGTTTGCGTTCTCCTCTCTCATCTGCCTGTAAATGTCAAACTGATAGTCACCTCTGCCTTGGAAGATCTCCTCATCAGTGGAGAGGTCACAGTACACGGTTAACCCATCCCTCTCCAGCCTGGAGAAGGTGTAGTCAATAATGTTGACAAGGATGCCATGGGTGGGGAGAGTGTGGGTCTCCCCATTCAATCTAAAGCTCACCTTCTTTAAGGGGGTTTTCTTCACCAGCACATTGCCCCAGTGGAGATCTCGGTGCTCAAAGTGCAAAGCTTCCTCAGCCACGGCCAGCGAAGCTGTGACTTGGTGCAAGATGCTCTTGGAGGCCAGCACAGAGTTCAGCTGCCGGTTCTGCATGTATTCCAGGTCCATGCCTCCATACTCAAACTCCAAGACCACAAAGAGCTGCCGGTCTCCAAAGAAGTCTGGCCGGTTGTTTTCAGACACTCTCAGCCTGTGGTATTCATCCCAGGCAGCCAGGAGACGGTCAGGGTAGCTGCCCTGGACACAGTGAATGGAATGCAAGCTGATAAACCCAGACGTTTGGTGAACCTCCTCATCTGCCAAAAGGCTGAGCTCTTTTGAAATGATGATCTCGGGTAAGATCTCACCAAAGGTCTTTTGAGGTTCTCCGTTGACTTGGTCGCTCCCTTCAATGGGGATTATTTTTAAAGCTGTGAGACCCCTTTCACCCTCTGTCCTGAAAACCTCCCCAAAAACACCTTCTCCAATTTTCTCACACTTCTGCATCTTATCGGGGGTGATGCATTCCTCAAAGGAGATGGGGCCACTCTGATGGCATTCCCTGTAGACTTTTTCCTCATCCGTTAGAACCATCTCTGACATGGCAGAAGAGGTCATGGACGACAGCAGGACCATAGAGGAGGAAGGGGATATAGAGTAGCTCAGTTTTTGAGTGAAGGGGGTCTTGGGAGTCTCCATCACGGAAGGAAGAGAAGCATTGGCAATGCTGCCGCTTAAGCTTTCCACCTCGGACAGGATGATCTTTTTCTTGTGGAGAGAAAAAGAAGCCCGGATCCTGCGCCACAAGCTGGAGTTCTTGAATGAGCACTCTGGAGACAGAATTGACGAGGAAAGATAGTCTTCCGTTTTGTTGCATTTCAAGCGTTCCTGAAGGAGGGAAGGATCAGCCTGCCTTTTCCGCCCCAAGTGCCTCTTCTGCCTTGCTTTCTCAAGCTTCCCTCGTTGTCCCCATCGACTGGTACTGAATCCACTGATGCAGGCTTTTCGACCAGTGCCTACGGTGCTACAGGTGGGGACCAACTTTCTGCTGGTGTCAGATAGGCCACAGAGAGAATCTGACTGCAAAGTATGTTGTTTTTTCCAAGAAAGGTGGACTACTGCTTGTTTTTTGCTGGACTGACTAGCCAACCAGTTTGGCACCACTCGACTGTCCAGGAGCACAGTGGGCTGAAGCTGGGGGCTACTATAGTCTTTTATGTTATCATTCCCTTCTTCCGAGACCGCTCCGTTCAGCTCACCAACTGCCTTTGGAGAACTGGTGCATGCTTGAACTGAGACACGCTGCCTCTTGTTAGCAAGAGGCGCTGCATCTTTTGGCAAGCAGAGGTAAATCTTGTCATCATGCAAATTGGCTTGTAGCTGGAAAACACCCGAAAGAGGCTCTTTTGGTGACACTGGGAGGCTCTGGCCATGATCTGCACCCGGGCTTTGACTGGGGCTGACCACATAACACCCCGGCGAGATTGTGAACCCTTCCCTGTTTTGCAAAGATGCTCCCATCTCACTGCAGGAATTGCAAGACTGCAAGGCAGAGCTGCTTTTGAACAGTGGATGGGGTGAGCTGCTGCAGTGCGGCTGAAATAACGTCACTGGCAGAGGTTCAGCCTGGGAATCCTCGTGCACAGACTTCCGCTGTAGACTCGGGACATCCTCCAGGGTGAAGAGCTCCAAGCTGCCTCCCATCTCCCTGGCATCCCCATCCATCTTCATTGAGCTCAGCTCAGAGAGGCCATCGCCGCCGCCACCACGACAGCAGTCCTCTCGCAACACTTCCTGCAGATCGTCGGGATGGAAGCAGCAGGTGTAAGAGGCAGGGCTGCTGCTCTGCAGGACAATCTCCTCGCCTCCCTCTTCCTCCAAATCCCTTTTCGCCAGCTGCGGCAGCTCAGGGGTGCTCGACAGCAACGGGAACCGTATACTCAGCCCTCTCTGGACCGGCTTCCGGCGGCGCTGAGTGACGTTCCTGCGCAGCGGGGTGGGGGGCACAAAGGTGTTGTTGGCAGCAAGCCGGCCCCCCAGCTCTCCTTGCGGGGCCTTGTTCTCCTTGGCCCCTTTCCCCTTTTTCTTGGCTGTGCCCTTCTTGCTGGGGGGCTTTTTGCGCAGCCGGGCCTTCCTGCTGGGTGGCAGGAAATCGGAGTCCTCGGAGGAGAAAGAAGGAGGGGCAGCCGGAGCCTTTTCCTGGGTCGCCTTGGGGGGCAGGTAACTCAGGTCTCCGAAGGAGGAAGAGGCGGCCGTCTCTTCGAAGGACAGGGAGGAGGAGCAGCTGCTGCTGAAGAGGCGCTTGCGGTCCACCGGGGGCGAGATCCAGGGGGCGGGAGGGGGCAGCCGCCTCAGCCCAGCCCGGCGAGCGGCAGCAGCGGAGGCCGCGCCCGGCCCGCCTCGGCCTAGTCCCCCCCGCAGCCCCGAGTACGTCCTCAGCAGCCGGGCCCGAGGCTGCTCCATGCGAGCGGAACCAGGAGGCCCAGCCCGAGCGCCCCTCACCCCACACGGGAAGTGGTCGGCCGGAAGCGGGCGAGGGGGCGGGACCCTCGAGGGGCGGGTTCCTTCTCCTGCGCTAGGCTACGGAGCGGAGTTCGGCGCGCCCGCCACCATTTCAAAGCCAGCTCTCGCGAGAACCCCGGCGGAACTTCCCTTAAAGCTGCCTTCGCGAGAGGCTTCCGCGGCCACCGCAGCCAATCGGGAGCGTGGCCCGAGCCTCTCGCGAGATTTTTCGAGAAGAGGTGGGGTTGGGGAGCGGTTTGCTCCTTCCCATTACTGTCTTGCCTTTCCCGTCTCTATGGTAGGGAGCGCCGTCCCGCGCTTCTAACCTCATTCTTTTCCTCATTTCCTAGAGGAAAGGGGAATAAGGACGACGCTCTACACCTTAGCGTCGGGTTGGGTTCTTGGTCGCCATTTGAAGGGTCAGGCTGGGGAAAGCTGCGTTCAGTTGAGGGTGTGTGGCGGGATTATTCTTTCTGGATATATATATATCTGGAGCGCATATATATGTATATGTATATGTATATATGTGTGTGTGTGTGTGTGTGTATATATATATATATATATATATATATGTATTATAAATAATTAATGGGTGGTATGTACTTTTATGCGCAGAACCATTGAAATTAATGAACGTTAAGCCCATTCATTTTTATGGGTCAACTCTTGAGTATAACTAGCGCTGAAAAAATAAAATATTTCTTTTCCGTTTATTGCTTTTATATTCTTAATATTCAGGATTTCAAAGCAGTGCGCATAAACTTCAAAGAAAAACCGTACACACAACAAAAAATACGAATCCATCGTGAGAACAGAAAACCACCTTAGAATGCCTGTTGAAACGTTTATATCCAGCTGCCTTTGCATCCTGACTAATGTTTCCCCCATGAATTCCGCCCCCCTCAGGATTGCTTTGTACAGTGTAATTTTTAAATTGCTGCTACTAAAATGAATTCCAAACACAGCAATCTGCAATAGGTGGCGCATTAAGCACATTGTATTTTAATATTTTGTTGCAAGCCGCCTAGAGTGGCTGGGGTATAAATTATTATTATTATTATTATTATTATTAATTAAATAGTTAATGCCCTTTGAAATGATACATTTGAAAATTGCTAATAATTAGAAATAAAGTTTCTCATTACCTGCCTCCCCAGAGCTCACCATAAACTATATGGTTGAGCATTGTATCAGCTGTTTATCACTGTACTGTTCAAATAAACATGTAATTAACCAAGTCATTAAAGCCAGGCTGCTGAGGTCCCTGGTGTACAGTAAGACGAGCACCAGCAGCTGGAACTTTTACCATCTGCTAACTTTCTTTCTCCTCTGTACAAACGTATTTAAGTCAATATGTGTTGTTGGGGTTTTTGGGGGTTTGTTTGTTTTTTTTGTAATGCCAAATTCATTCTGTGTTTGCCAAATTGTTGGTTTTTGTTCTATTTGACCTCCTTGGCCTGTTTTGTAAACTGCCTTCTTCCCCGCCCCATTTTTTGATTGTATTTTTATAAGAGGTGGATGTTTGTTGTCCCCAAAGCCGAAAGGAAGCATCAAAATAAACTCAATCTATTTATTATTTATTATTTTTTATCAATTTATTAAAGGTCCTTCTAGAATCAGCCCTACATTTGTAGCAGGGGCATAAGAATTCTGGACTACAGGGTAGCAATAAAACACTTTTCTTTTTTTGGCTTTTTGGTGGAGAGGGCTTGTGTTCCTATCTATGGCCCTTTGAGGATTAAGACAAATTCATGGCGGATCAGGCTTTCAATTGGCCACAGGCTATGAAGCCTACCTCCACTGTCAGATTCAGACCAGCTATCCCTATGTTCCAGGGGCATCCCTGATTTAGAGAAGCTGTTTCTGATTGGAACCCGGAATGTCCCACTTTTCCGTAGGATGTCCCTGTTTTCATTGGAGGGTATGGAGTTATCCGATCCCCAAGCTGTCTGAAGACAATCCTGTATAGGGAAGTTTTTTTTAATGTTAAATGTTTTTATTATGTTTTTATATATGTTGGAAGCTGCCCAGAGTGGCTGGGGCAACCCAGTCAGATGTGTGGGGTATAAATAGTAAAATTATCATTATGGAATGGGGCGTCCCTATTTTCATCGGAGAAATGTTGGAGGGTTTGCAGATTCAGTATGCCTTTCAATACCAGTGTGAAAATAGGATGCTGGCATCAGGCTCTCACTGATGCAGCAACAGCTTCTACCTTAAGTCCTTTAATTTCAGTGGGTCTTCTCTGAGTAGGAGTAACATTGGGTACAAGCCAATGTTATTATTTTAAAAGAGGCAACAGTATATGATCAGAAATCTGTACGACTTTAATACTGCACAAGCGCTATACATATAAAGCACACTCAAACATTGTTTCCCTCAAAGGATTACCCTTCACAGAGTTGCAATTCACAGCAGCTCTTAACAAACTACAGTTCCCGGAATTCTTTTAGATAAGGAATGTGTTTAAAGGTATATTGTGTACATGGCCTAAGTGCTATGAGTTGTATCAAATTAAGTGTTCTGAAATTAGTGCTGAAATTAGACCATGCCCATTCATTCCCGTGTTGCTTACTCTGAGTATGACCAACATTGGACACAACCCTGTTTCATTCATTTTTTCTCCTCTTTCATCAGAATACCACTGTGTGCAAAACAGACCTTGGACGCACAGACTCGAAGGTAAAAATAGGGCTGTGGAGGGAGGAAGCATGTTTGCTGATCATACTCCTGCCCTTTTGCCTCTCAAGAAGGCAGCTTACAAGAAATCCATACATACAAAAATTGGTGGGGTGGGGGGAGACAGAGAAATTAAACAGGAGTGAAAATACCAAATAACCAGGAGTTTTAGTTTTTTTCAAAGCAAACAAAACCCAAATGTAATTAATAGGTGACTTTTTTCTACCAACCAAAATCTGTGGGTTACAATCAAAGGCTGCTTCAGTTACCAGAAACAGGCCCGTTGCAAACTGTTACCAGAGAAATGGTGCCTTTTGATGGCCCAACTCCCCAAGTTCATTACCAGCCAGAGATTAATGAGCTGAGGCAGAAATCAAGTGAAAGCAAAGCTGATTTTTTAACTACTGTATCCGTTGCAACAGAGTCCCACTCCCCTTTTGTCAGGAGGTGAAGGACCCAGAACTAAGTAAAAACAACTCTTCTTAAAAGTTTGCATTTTGGCATGGAGAAGGACCTCCCCTTCTGCAGGGTCATCTGGGATAAGTGTCAGGGTTACATCACATACTAGGTGGAGTCAGGCAAACCAGAGTGTCATATTCCTGAGTAATAGCTTGTTTTCACACAGTTCCAGACAGAGTTTACACAAAGTATTGACATTGGAAATAGAGTTTGTGAATCCAGGATTCTCTAAAACAGATCCTTCAGTGAAGGTGGAGTTGCATTGTGCACAATTATTGTCTCTCTTCCGCTCTGTTTTGAAATATGTGCTCTTTCTCTGTCAGGACAGCGAGGGAGTTGGATACCAGCTCGTGAGTTGTACCATCACATCAGAGAAGGAGGACGTGGTTGTGATGGCAGAGCTACCTTTAGCCAATTCCTTACAGGTATATGCTGCGGGGAGAGATTCTTTTCCAGGGGCAAAGATCCACCACTGAGTAGTAGATCGGGGTGAGGAATGTCTGGCTGTTTCCCCCTAAACCCCATAGCCAGCATCATATGTGATGTCAGGCATGACTGGAAGCCTCAAAGTGCACTCCTGGTTGTGCTTTGGCAAGAGAAAACAGGCTTCGGCTGTTCAGCCCAAAGCCTGCTAGATCGACTGCATGAGTTCTCTGCAGGGAGCGCAATTGTGAAGCCTGGGGAAAAAACTGGTGAGTGCTTTGACATCCTCAGGTGCTTTGACGTCCCGACTTTGGGATTTCAAAGTGCCCAGTCCCTTGATATAATTGTGGCGTCAGGTGATCAACAGGTAGGTGGCCCTGTCCTCCTTACAAATTTGACCCAAGAGACTAGAATCTGGTCCGCGTAGCCTTAATAGTCCCCTCTCTGCACCATGGAGAAACTTTGAAATTTAGAAAGCTGCTTTGTGTTGAATCAGATCCTTGATCTATCTTTGTCTACACCAGGTGTGGGAACTTCTGACCCCTGAACTGTTGCAGCTCCTTTCATCTCAGGCCATTGGCCATGCTTGCTGGGGCTTGAATCCCAGCTTGGGAGAAAGTCAGGATATAAATGCAGTAAATATGTAAAGAAACAGCAGAAGGGCTAAAGGTTCCCCATGCCTGGCCGATACTGGCTTTCCTCATTTAACTATTGGAATTATTATTATTATTAATCATTTGTACCCTGCCCATCTGGCTGGGTTCCCCAGCCACTCTGGGCAGCTTCCAACAAAGATTAAAAAATACATTAAAATGTCACACTTTAAAAACTTCCCTGAACAGGGCTGCCTTCAGTTGTCTTCTAAATGTCAGGTAGTAGTTGTTCTCTTTGACATCTGGTGGGAGGGCGTTCCACAGGGCGGGTGCCACTACTGAGAAGGCCCTCTGCCTGGTTCCCTGTAGCTTTGCTTCTCACAGTGAGGGAACTGCCAGAAGGCCCTTGGCACTGGACCTCAGTGTCCGGGCAGAACGATGGGAGAAATTCCAGCTGGGTGTCGTAAACATTGCTGTCACTTCTTCCGCTCCTTCCTTTTAGGTCTTAGAAAACAGGACTGACTTGCTGGTTCGAGGGGAAATCGTTTTCGACAGGAACCTTTACGTGGGCCTGAATGCGGAAAATTACAAAACAGAGGTAACTGGCGGGAGGCAAGGCACTTCAGGCCCGTTTCCACAGGGAAGAGTGAACCGGAAGTGAGAAATGGGGCTCTTTTCAGTCCTTAGCACAGCAGGGCCAGCCCTATCATTGGGCCCTGGGGAGCAGCGTCCCTCTGCAACTGGTTGTAGGGGGTCACGAAAGGGCAGCAAATGTTTAATAGCATGATTTATTATCTTCTGGTTGGATTTTCACTGTGTTTTTCTACACCTACACACCCAGGCAGCTGTGAATGTGCAGTCCACTCATGTTTATGAGGGAGCGGAAACATTTAAACATTTAACATTTAATACTTAGAATTAGCCAAATTGACAGATATAATAAGACAAAAACCAAAAAGTGAAGTTAAAAAAGAATGGGAGTGTCTAAATGAATACCTCAAAAGTCAAGGTTCGAAGGCAGAAATCTGGCTGAGTCTGGAATAACCTTGTGAAGTGAAAGGATATGAAAGAAGGATTTTTATCTAGATGTTAGGATAGAGAGGATAAAGAAAACAGGAAGACAGAATGAGAGATAAAGGAGGTGCTGTGGGATTGGTGGAAGTCAATGTTTTGTTGTTGTTTTAGTGTTTATAATATTAACTTGTAAGATGGATTTGTTTGTCTTTTGTTTTGTTGTTGTTGTCTTTTTTAGTTTTCGAATGTTGGTTTTTGTGTGTTGTGTATTGTTATCTTTTGATATCTTTCGTGTTGTTGTGTGGAAAATACTAATAAAATTTATTTTTTTAAAAACCATTTAACATTTAAGGTTGTAGCAGAGCGCTGAATGCCTCAAGGTCTTAGGATCGCTTCCCCTGCAAAATGCATCCGCTTCCCTTGTTTCTGTTTTGCCCCTTGTCCGTAGATCAAGGTGATCTTGCTGAAGGAGAAAGTGTTTGATTTCCTTCCCTTCCTCATCGGCAGCTCTGTGGGCGGCTTGGCGCTGCTGCTGCTAATTACCGCAGTTCTTTATAAGGTTAGTATTCCTTCCACGGAGCCGTGTTTTAAAAATAGGCTAGATCAAGTCAAATCCGATATTTACTGTCACGGTCCATGAGCAGCGTTGAAGAAGCAAAGTAACAAGCGCGTCGGATGCATTATCCAAATGACTACAGCAGGATAAAATAATAAGAGCAGCACAGAGTGAAATAAAACGGGCACCAACGTTTCAGACTCTTGTAGTCATGTCACGAGCTCCAAAGACGAAAAAGGTACATCATGTCTGGGGTCAGTTCCTGGCGGGTTTTGCTTGCTGCAGCACAATGTTTGGCCACACTGAGAGCAATAGATGCATTTTAGTCGCAGGGGAGTAAAAGGACGTAAAATGCATTGGTTGCCCTGGCAGATTTAATTAAAGGGGTTCAGTAAAGATTTTGCACAGATCTCAGCCAAGGAGCAATACAGAAGGACTTGGGCCACTGACTCAACCTCTCCCAGAGGCGCTGGGGCGCTTGGGCTCGTGGTAGGGGGTGGTCCAGATTGTTTTAGGATGTTGTCAGTGGGAAGATGCTGATATCTGAGTTGCTGCTACCAGGGGTGACTTTAATAATAATAATAGTAATAATAATAATAATATATTTATACCCCGCCCTTCTGGCTGAGTTTCCCCAGCCACTCTGGGCGGCTTCCAACAAGTGTTAAAAACAACACAGCATCAAGTATTAAAAACTTCCCTAAACAGGGCTGCCTTCAGATGTCTTTTAAAGAGAAGATAGCTGCTTATTTCCTTCACATCTGAAGGGAGGGTGTTCCACAGGGCAGGCACCTCTACCGAGAAGGCCCTCTGTCTGGTTCCCTGTAACCTCACTTCTCGCAATGAGGGAACCGCCAGAAGGCCCTCGGCGCTGGATCTCAGTGTCCGGGCTGAACGATGGGGGTGGAGACGCTCCTTCAGGTATACAGGAGCCAGCATCAAGGGGGTTTGGTACAGACCACCGCAGAAGGGTTTTATACCTGGGAAGGGCTGTAGGTCAGTGTTAGAGCACCTGCTTGGCATGCAGAAGGTCTCTGGTTCAACCCCCAGAATTTCCAGGCAGGACTGGGTAAGACACTGGCATAAAACATTGGAGGGTCACTGCCAATCAGCAGGGAGACGGCATGGTACCCTCCAGATGTTGTGGGATTCTAACTCCCAGCAGCGCCAGCTGCCAGCAGGGTCAGGGATGCTGGGAGTTGTAGTTCAGCAGCATCTGAAGAGCATCATGTTGGCTATTGCTGGTCTAGAGAACTTTTAGCTGGGTGGGTCAGTGCCTTGACTCTGTATAAAGCACCTTCCCATGTATATAAAGGGATGAGGAGCCTGTGGCTCTGGACTCCGGCTCCCATCATCCCATGACCATCAGCCCTGCTACCTGGTGCTGATGGGAGTTGGAGTCTAGCAACCTCCTGAAAGGCACAGTCTCCCCTTCCCCCATCCATGGGATTAGAGTGAACTTCTATTGGCACAGGAGCAAGCAAGGGAGTTTGTATTAGAAACTTGTATTCTTTTACAACCATGAAAGGCGTCTATTACTATTCTCTGCCTTTAAAATTGAAACTACTGTTGCTGTTGTTGTTGTTGCTGCTGCTGCTTTAAAAAAAAATGGAACAAATTAGCCAGATTCGCCGTGGCTTATTTCTCCTCTCTTTTCACCCCCTTCTAGTGTGGTTTTTTCAAAAGAAAGTACAAAGATAGGATTGCAGAGCAGTGCGATTCCTGAGAATGAAGTGGAGAGAGATTCTGGGATGGGACGATGAGTAACCTTCCTCAGACGTGCGAGGCACAGATTGGAATTCATCTTCTTTTTATTAATGTATTCCTTGCTGTAGGCTGAAAATAAACCTTTTGCCCTAGTCTTGGGTTCCTGAAAACCACTGTTATGGATTTCAGTGCACTCCCCCCAGGTACTCAAGGGCACACAGTACCGGCACCTCTCTTTTTGTTGTTAAAAATTGTGGCACACACTGTAATAACTTCATGGTGAGTACCGGCACCTATTATTCTAGAAAAAAAAGCACTGACGGATTTTATTTGGGAGCCTCATGGGCCTTTGTGTGGATTTTTTGAGGCAACCTCGTACTCCACATGGCTTAGTTCACAGCCAGCTTGAGATTGTGAACGTGTTTTTTCCCACCCATTCTTTCACTCCTGCCATCATCTCCCATTTTCCATATTAAGGCCGTGACCCAGGGCCCGTGGTTTCGCCATCAGCCAATGGTTTTCCTTCCTCAAACCTCCCTCTCCCCACACTCTGTTTTAATAACCTGCCAAAGACTCCTGGGGAACACGGGAGCTTTCACACTATTTTTGTGGCCTTTCTTGTCAGCCTAATAAAAGTATTGCCCTAATATTGTGTTTGTTTTTGGATTTTCCCAGTCTTTGATTCCATATAAAAGGTAAAGGACCCCTGACAGTTAAGTCCAGTCGCAAATGACTCTGAGGTTGTGGCGCTCATTTTGCTTTACTGGCCAAGGGAGCCGAAGTTTGTCCGCAGACAGTTTTTCTAGGTCATGCGGCCAGCATGACTAAGCCGCTTCTGGCGAACCAGAGCAGTGCACGGAAATGCCGTTTACCTTCCCGCCGGAGCGGTACCTGTTTATCTACTTGCACTTTGACGTGCTTTTGAACTGCTAGGTTGGCAGGGGCAGTGACCGAGCAACGGGAGCTCACCCCGTCGTGGGGATTCGACCCGCCGACCTTCCGATCGGCAAGTCCTAGGCTCTGCGGTTTACACCACAGCGCCACCCGCATCCCATTGATTCCATATAAAGAAGAACAATTGTTTATTTAAAAGACTGGAGCGAACTTAACTTTGCAGTGCCCCAGAACTCTTCATAGTGGTTGCAGGGCAGCTGCCTACAATCGGCTTTCTCCCAGCAGCTGCTAATTCAGTGGTAGACTGCTCCTGAATCTGGAGGGTCCTTGTAGTCACCAGGACTAGTACTTATTCATGGAGCTTCCACCCTCCGCAAACCATCTGAGCCCCTTTTAAAACTTTCCAAGCTGGTGCTGACATCACCAGTTCTTCAGGGTAGAAAATTATCTATGTTTATTAGAAGTGGCATGAAAAATTATTTCTTTTCCTGGATTTTTCTTTGCCTTCTGCCAATCTGTTTTGTTGGCTAACCCTGAATATGAAACTTGAGTATTATGAGAGGTAGAAAAAATGTCTATCTTCTTTCTTTGTGACATACAGTGGTACCTCGGGTTAAGTACTTAATTCGTTCCGGAGGTCCGTTCTTAACCTGAAACTGTTCTTAACCTGAAGCACCACTTTAGCTAATGGGGCCTCCTGCTGCCGCCGCACCACCAGAGCCTGATTTCTGTTCTTATCCTGAAGCAAAGTTCTTAACCTGAAGCACTATTTCTGGGTTAGCGGAGTGTGTAACCTGAAGCGTATGTAACCTGAAGCGTATGTAACCCGAGATACCACTGTATTTAATATTATGAACGTCATTACTCCCACCACATCCCATCCCAACACAGTCATTTAAGTTTCAATGCAACACTTATCAGGGTGTAATTTCTATTGAATTCAATGGGGCTTGCTTTTGAGAAGAAAAGTATAGAATTTCATTGTTTTGTGTGGGGTTTCCCCCCCAACCCCTCAAAACTTTCTCCTTTCTTCATAAGGAAGGTGTTCCACCTCTCTGATAATTTTGGTTGTGCTTTTCTGAGCATTGTGTTTCTTTAGAAGAGGAAGGACTCGGTGGACCTGGCAAATTGACGGTCCTAAGTTTCTGTCTCTTTCATCTGCACAAGGCTTTAAAATTTTTTTAAATCAAATCTCCTTCATTGTATTCCCCATGTCTATTTGACCCATCTGGCAGTGTTTCCAGTTTGTTATGCCTTGCTGGCATTCATCTATTTGGCACTGAGGGCCTGACTGCAGGAACCATCCAACTTTAGAGAGAAACCCTCCATAAATTTTAAATGATACCATTATCCTTTTGCACAGTAGGTCTAGGGGATGTGGCCTTGTCTCGTACGCAAGACGTAACCTGACATTTTTTCAGCAATTGCTCTTTCTCTCATCAGACCTCCCTGTCATTTAGTCACAGCCTGGGGAATCCTTCACATGACTCTCTGGGGGGTTTATGTAGGCAAAACAATCCTGCAATTCAAAGACACTTTGGGGATATTTAAACAGATGGCTCTTTCTTCGGGGGATGGTTTGATGCAGAAAATCAGAATGTCTGCTTAACAAAAGGTTTGCAGAACTGACAGCCCCTAAACTTGCACCTGACACCTTCATTGTATAGCTTTTGCCTTATGCAGAAGACATACCTCTTTACCCTGGCCTTTTGACACTAGATATAGATAGATGATAGATAGATAGATAGATAAGGTAGGTAGATAACAGTCTAATGTAAGAACTCTAAATCTCCATTATCCTTCACTTTTTGCTCTGTTGGCTGGAGCTGATAGAAATGAATCCAACATCATTTATTTGGCCTGGATGGCCACAGGTTCTCCATCCTTGAACTAAATTAATAAAATAATTTCTTGTGCTTATAAGAGGTTGGAACAGGTGGGGGGAACCTTTGGGCCTCCCGCTGTTGCTGAACTACAACTCCCATAGTCCCAAGCCATTGGCTATGCTTGCTGGGGATGATGGGATTTGCGGTTCCACAAACGTCTGGAGGGCCAAAGTTGCCCCACTTCCGATGCAGTTGGCAGGCATCGATGCAGTTCTCTCTTCCAGCCAAGCCCCTTCGCTACTGTGGGTCTGTCCTATTTCAGGCAGGAGACCCTGTCAAAACAAAGCAGATGAACATAAGGAATGCATATATATTTGAGCCAGACGTACGTGCTGCGTATATATATATATATTTGCAGTCTGATCATCCCTGGCAAGTCGGGGCGGCATAAAACTGACTGTCCTTTGGCAGCTGGCCCAGCAAAAGAAGGAGATTTGTAGGAGCACATTTGAGAAATGGGAGTCGGGCCAGACTGCTGGTCCAGCATATTCCTTCCTGGATCATTAATCCAGAGTGTCCCGTTCTGCTCTGTTAAATCCCTAAGTGACAACTCGCAAGGAAGATCTATGCATCACCGAGGGAGCCTCTGCACTGCTTGTCTTGTAAGTCCTGTGGGATGGGCGCATGTCAGTGTGTTGCTCGTCTGCAGAGGGCAAAGCCTTTAAAAATAACCAAAAAGTCTCCTGTGAACTTCCGACACAAGCTGCCGGCCTGTGCCAGCTAATCTCCGTTCCCTGCCTTTTCTCAATAGGCGAAACTGCAGCAGGACGTCTGAAGTTGGGGACATATCTCAGTGGGCGAAGCCTCTGCTTTAAGGTCCCAGGTTCAAATCTCCAGTAAGATAGATAATTTATTACGGTCAAAGACCAGCTTGCATAACATAACACAATAAAAACAGCGTTCATAAAGATAAAATATACAATCGGAGCCGATTGCAGCAATAGCGCATGAGTTAAAATTGAGATATATACATATATCTGTACAGCTGAGATTTGGGTACCTTCAGCATTTCCCTAGTAAGCTAGAGGATGATCTGTGCCTACAAATCTCGGCACATAATAATAATAATAATAATAATAATAATAATAATAATTTTATTTATATCCTGCCCTCCCCAGCCGAAGCAAGGCTCAGAGTGGCTAACAACAGTAAAATAATACAGCATTCCAAAATCAATTCATTATAAAATCATTTCAAATCAGGTCGTCTTGTGATCTTTGCCTAAGAGGAGAGAATTAAGTTTAGACTTGTCTGAAAGATCGGCAAGCAAAGGATCAATGGTGTCTCTACGAATCTCCAATAAAAAGAAGACGGAGGAACCTCAGAGCTGGGGGCCAGATGTGGTCCTCTGGATCTCTTGATATGGCCCTCAAAACTTTCCCCAAGCCATGCCTCCTCTTTCCTGATTAACTCCGCCGCCGGTGATGCTTGAGAAAAGAGATGGCAGGCCAACCGTGGCCTCCCCACGGGCAGCAGACACACAAATCAAGGTGAAAAATGACCTTCTCAAAAAGGCACTCGCCGTCAGCAAAAACACCGTTTCAGGGGAGTGCAGAAAAAGGGAGGGGAGAGAGACACTGGAAGTTTTCCTCCAAGCAATTTTGGTTTCTACTCCGTGGTTTTGCAGTCAATGTTAGAGCTTGGGTGCTGGGCTTTTAAGGTGGTGGAAATAATATCTAAGGCCACGTTCAGCTGTGATACCACTTTAAGCAGTCATGGCTTCCCCCTAAAAATCCTGGGAGCTGAGAGCGGTTAGGAGACCTCAATATTCCCCTCCCAGAGCTACAATTCCCAGAGTTCCCTGTGAAGAGGGATTGATTGTTAAACTACTGTGGGAATTGTAGCTCTATGCAGGAAATAATATTTTCAGCGCCCTTAACGAAAGCACAGTTCCCAGGATTCTTTGGGGAAATTCATGACTGTTTAAAGTGGCACCAGAATGCCCTAAATGCATATAATGAATGAGGCCTTAAACAGGAATAGAGAACATAGTGTCCCCATCTCTGACCAAAAACAAGGCATTGGAGGGGAATAATGCAGTTTTTGAAGGTCAACGGCTATTAGGTCTGTACCAAAACACTCAGGCATTAAATTCCGAGCCTTGATTTTGGGACCAGCTGGTCTCGAACTCAGAACTCTTTACCGTGTCTGCATCCCCACTAGCCATTTAAAGCTCACTTCTGGGAAGGATCCTGGGAATTGTCGTTTGTTAAGGATGCTAGGAACTGTAGTGTTGCAC